GGATGTGTATAAGTGTAAAATATTTTAGTATTGCCTCCTATTTTGTTGAGAAATAACTGTTGGAACTGGTTTAGTGGGTCCTGCCTTTGGACACAGAGACAGAGAAGCAGCTTCTCAGGAGCTTCTTCTAGCTCTGTGTTTCTGGAAGCACTGAACCTCAAAGTGGAGGAAACAATCTGCAGAGAGGCAGAAGGAGATGTGTTTTACAAATTGCAGCCTGATGAGATCTTCAACAGCATTAAACACCCACAGAGAATTTCTTTAAAACAAATACTAAATGAAAAATCTCTTATGGCAGTAGTGAAAGCTTTGATAGATATCTATAAAATAGATAAAGCTCCATTAATTTCCAACTTAGGACAGACGTTATATTTGAATTTACAGACATGCCAAATGGTAATTTTGGCTTCCAATCCTTGAGATGTGGCTGATCTATTATGGGTGATAACAGCATATGCTACTTTCTGAGTCGATTCCTATTATGTCATGAGAAGCAACACAGCTAGTAATGGAAGGCATTTTCACATTAGCTGAAATAGCAAATGAGGTCCATAACACAGAAAATAGGTGTGTTTCAGAAGTGGATTCAGTATTTGAGATGGTTGTCAAATTCAATACTGAGTAAATAAGTCAACAAAAGCAAATCTCATATGAAAAATGAACATGGCATATAGCATGTACAGATTTTTTTTTTTTTCTTACATGATGTCAAAGGGTTGCATATCTTGACAACTTTCTTTAGCTGGTTACGCCTGGAAGAATTGATGGAGCCATTTGGCCTTTGTGTGGGTCTGTGTCCGAACTTGTATGTCCTGAGGAGGTAAGTGGCTGCTTGAGATGCTGTGGAGCAGGGGTGAACAGCTGAGAAATGGGAGCATCTGAGTGCAATTTGATGGAGCAGATGTTTCATCCCAGCACTCCACAGATGCCTTAAGGCTTTGTCTGGTGTCAGCCCTTTCCTAAATGAGTTTTCATAATGAACTTATCTGTTAATTGACACATAAAAATCTATGTTAATATAACATTAAGGACCTATCTCATATTTGCAAATGCCAGGAAATTGAAGGGGAAAAAAAAGCTTAAGCTTGACTGTCACCAATACTTACCTGCTGTGTTCCATGGGGGAGAAATCACTGATGCAGAAACACTTAGACATACCGCAGAGTTAAACATCACTTTTTTGGGGGGTTTTTTTGGTTCTTTTTGACAACTGTGTGGGCAGAGAAAATGCCTCCAACACCTAGTAAAAGGTTTAGGCAGTTGCTCATGACTTTAGGTATTAGAACACTTTTATTTGCTTTTACCTAGTGTCCAGATTTGTGCTTCTGGTGGCACCAGAGTTATCCACAGCTGACCAGACCAAGCAGTGAGACTTCTCATTGATTTTTCCAGTGTGTCCATTGTGTTGACAGCAGAGAGCTAACACATTGATAGTCCTTTTTTCATGCATAAGCTAGGGCAGCTCCTTCAATACAATAGCCCAGGTTCTGCCATATGAGTTGAGAAATCCAGAAACAACTTCCTTCTCAGGCTGGGAAAATTCATATCTACCATTCTACCTTCAGGGTAATAACCTTTCTACTGGTGCATGAGGGTACCTTACAAGAAAACTATGCCAAAAAGAGTTTAAGCCTTAACTGGGTTGGCTGGGAGAAGGAGACACTGGGTTTTTGCGGCTGGGGAAGTCATGGGCACCATTCCCTCTTCCTGTATTTAATGTTAGACCACCATTATGAAGACCAGACCCCGGGAACTTAGATCGCCAGCTCATGCCCTCTGCTGTCTTTGCCCTTGTCACCAGTGAATCTTGTTGCCCTCTTCTGTATGCAGCCAGATAATGTCCCCAGGAAGGAGAAATCCTGGAAGAGTTAAGGTACCTTCCTGAGGTAAGTCCAGACTTGGGCACAGTAGATTTTGGTGATCTGGAAACACGTGGTTCAGCTTCTCAGACCACACCTTGGTGTGCACAGCCCAGGCAGGCAGCATGATGCCATTCTAAGCTGAGGACCATGTTAATAAAGACAGATTCAGCAGCTGTCCAAAGCAACACGGGTGTCTTTCCTGATAAAAGGTGCAATTGTGTCTCAGCCTACGCTAACACTTGGTTGCCCGGAGCTGAGTGGGTCACAGTAGTCCTCTGTGTAGTGCCTGCATGTCTCCAGGGCAGTGCATCTCAGTGCAGCTCTCATGAGTACTGCAGGTACTGAAGACTCTACTGCACTGCCTGGTTTGGCCTTTCCCTGCACAGGCAAAGTGGAGGCACTCACCAAGCCACAGGGTAGAGTGTACCCCATGAAACTACCAACGTTGCCCATAAAGAACTGTTGATTAACCCTAATGGACTGGTTATCCTAAAACTGTTATCCTAGCTTGGAATTGGTCTTTCAACTGAAAATGTCCCATTTAACTTTCTTTTTGTTGTACGTGTCTAGTCCTGTGCTAAATTTTCTTTGATTCATGACATGAATGCAGCTGCCAATACCCAGGGTAGATTCTGGTGAAGTATCTGAATGGTGAAAATGATGGAGAAATCATTGAAGTGCTTTGAGCACAGTGTTTGCAAGGGCTGCCCATAACATGAAGGTGGCAATACTTGGGGTACACCTGTTAGTCCTTGTAAACCACCTGTCTCTCCGAAAAGGTGTAGTCTGTGTGGCTGAAAAGAGGCAGATATGAGTTTTGTAATATGTGTACTTCATACTTATATGAATTAAACATCTACAAATGCTGCATTTTTTCTGAAAAAGATGTCTGACACCAGAAAAAAACCCAAACTCTTACTGGTATGAAGTAATTGAAATTCTGGTAAAACCACACTTGTGAGGAAATTATCTTGTAAAGCAAACTGCAGTTTGGAAGAAAATGACCTTGTGTAGTGATCAAGGGTCTGACAATAGGAGCTGGTTCAAATTTTGGTGGTCTGCCTCCCTTTCATCCAGCACCTCCATGCAGCCTGACATCCCAGCTGCACCTTTGCTCTTTTTCATTCATGCACAGTATCACAGACTTGTTTGCTTGAGTCTTTTTCACCTCTTCCCATATCTTGCTGTCCACCTCACCACCCTTCTCTTACCATTCCCATGCACAACACACTAGCATCTTAGCCCTGGTCTCCAGCTCTGCATCTGCTGCATTTCACTTGTATTTTGATCACTTCTGCAGCCATTAGTGCTCTGCAGCCTGTAGAGCAGGTTGTTTCCTGCTAGGAGAGAGGCAGAAAGAAGGAGCAAAGCGAGCTGTCCTCAGGTCTGAAGAGCATCACGGGTCACTACAAGTCACCATCTCTATTTCATGGGATTGGGAACTGAAGGAGAGATAGGTGGGAGATCGCTGAAATCAGGGCAACAGTGAAGTCAGACTAGCACCAAACCTAAGCTGTGATCAGCAGATTTAAACACAATTTTATTACTAAAAATAAGATCAAAATGATCACAAATTGCAGATTGCAGATGTAATATTCCAAAACATGCTTCAAATCTGGATGCACTCCAGAACCTAAAAAAATGCTTTTTTTTTTAACCTAAGAGGTAAGTTAGGATTGCTCTTGTTCTTTCAAAACAGATCTTCTTTTATGGAGGTATTCTGAATTAAGAATTTGGCTATAGGAACCAAGCTAAACTAGAAAGTAATTAAATTCCTCAGATGTAAAAGCAGTCACAGAGACAGAGAAGAGAAAAAGGAAATTGAAGCAAAATGCTGAGAGTTTTTGAAATTATTAATTTATACTGGAGTATAAACTACCACTCTATAGTATCAATTCACAAATCAAGCACTGTTGCTGTGAACTCAGAGGGACCTTAATATCAGACCCAATGAGCAGCACATATTTTTTACTATACTACTTGAGCCTACAAATCCGAGCAGATGTGCAAAAAAGCACCTTCCCCAAAATCTTACAACTATTAGTTGCAAGTAACAATTAAGGGAGCAGATAATTTTGCTTCTCAAATGGAATATAAAACAGTGTCTCCAACAGCTCAATCCAGCATTGTAGAGTTTAAAAGAATTCCTAAGATTTTGCTGTGTTTTTAAACTGCAACAGTATCACAATCAAAGCACAATAGGAATGAGAACACTTCTCATCATTGAGTCAGAGTAACAACATGAGCCACTCTCTTGGTTCTTCTTAAATATTAACCGCCTGAATGTATCCAGCACAAAAGACACCTTTATTGGAAAACACATGAGAAAAAGATAAACCAAGCAGCCATTTCTCTGCTTTTGCATGTCATGCTCTCCAGAATTGCTGTGGAACCAAAGGATTCCCAGTAGGGAAGGAGTTGCACTTCAAGTTACCTTTCAAGTTCCTAATGAGAGCTGATCTTGGACTTCTATATGCTCATTCTGGGAATAAAAATTATGATATTTTCTTTTATCTCACTCTAAAGTAAGATAAAGTGAAGGTTTCCTTGCTATTGTGTGAGTGTAATTGGAAAGGATAGGTCTAAAAAATAGCCTAGCTCTAGAAAATAGCCTATGTCATTAAGATTAACATTAAGAATATTTAGCTGTCTAGCATCTAGGAGTTTATGGCACTGTAAATTGTTTATACTTTTTCAAACCACTGTAAAAAAAAATAATGTAGCAATTGCAATCATTTTTGTAGAAGCAAATGCTTTCATAAATTACCAGGTTTGAAAAATTAAGCTTCTACTTTCAAGGCCAAATTTTTAAAGATATGTCAATCCATTTTTCATTAATGTCATTACAGTTATTGGGAGGTGGTGGAAAGGTTTGCCCATCATTTCCTCTCTTCTGGGATAAGCCACAGACTGTATATAAGCAGTGTCGTCAGTATGTGCCAGTTGGATATGAGGTGCACCATCTGTAGATGCAAATGACAATTAAAAAAAGACATATCCAAACGACTGTGCATGCAAAGAGGCAATACTGGAGAAATTGGACCAGGATTTCTGTATATCTTATGGAGGTAAAAATGTGATATGTGTCATACCCCTGTAAGAGCTGTGGGGAAATAAAACTTCTGAATGCAAGGCAAATTCTCTTTTTTCATTGTTAAGATTTAATACATTTTGAGGTTGGAGAAGGCAGCATATCTCTTAACGAAGTGGCTAGTACAGAATGTAAAAAAAAAGAATTAAAATAATGAGGGCATTTTCATCCTTCTACATGCAAATTGTCTCATATTTCAATTTATTTCAGTATAAATTTATTATTGCATATGCTAATACACAGAAACAGAAAAAGAAAAAATATTTCAAATCATTATAAAACATACGGAACCATACAGATTATGTGATCTTTAGTAAAATCTATCTTAATGATGAAGGCACCATTTAGCATTCACTCTGGAACTGTGCTCCTTCATTTATTTATGAGTTCCTGTAGACAAAGAAAGTATCTTCCAAAAATAGGAATACCATATTTTCAAGGCATACTGTGTATTTTATTTTTGAAACTAGTAAATGTCAAACAGTATTCATACACAGTATTGACACATTAATGTTTTCATTCAACAGTGAAGATACCTTTCCTTGTTACATTATATATTTATGACACACAGAGCTGTCAAATAAATTATGTCAAAGCAGCTACAGCCAGACCTTGTGACACTTGAATCATAGAACCAGGGCAAATAACCTTTAAAATGAAAGACATATGACAAGAATTAGAAACATTTAATTTGCATAAATATAATGTTAACAGTCTTTTCCTTATTACATATTTTATGCCTAATTTTTAATTGCCATTATACTCATTCTTTAACATCAGTTTGCTCTCTCTTTTTTTCCTCATTGATTGCTTTGTTTTGGAATGTGTGAAACAAATTCTATAAGAAGCATATGATCAGATCATCATTTTAATATACTCTGGTTAGCAAATCTTAAATGTTGAGAAACACTCTTTACTCACATGAGTTACTATTTAAAATATAGAATAAGTTCCTTAAAATAACTAAAAATTCCTGAACATGTCAAGTAGATATATAAACTCTGATAACTTTGGACCATCTCTGCAAAAAACAATCTTTTATTAAAGTTCTCCTGTGAGGTGCAGAATATACTAAATGTGCAAAATTGAAGCACTGATTTGCAAAAGCTTGGTGACTCTTACATACTGAATTTTGCAGTATAAAATCTGAGCATCTAAGTATACAGGAAGCAAACGTATAGGTATCAAAGTGAATGGTTAGCTTTTCAGAATTGCTTACTAAGAGTAATAAACTCATTAGTTTCATTACTTGAAACCTGGTTGTTAATGAGAGACTTCTCAAGGCTCTGCTGGCACCTTTAGAAATCACTGAGGACAGAGGGAACTCCACAGTTTGCTCTTATTGCTAACACTGCATAAGCTCACAGATGTAACCACACTTAATGAAACTTGCATTATTCTGGAGAGTCCCTAGGGATGTTCAAGTAAACAAAGCTGTAGCAGCAGAGCACTGATAACTAAACCCCTTATGGTTCCTGCCTGTAATTCACCTCCACTGGGATAGTGGCCAGGCCTGCACAGCCATAAGGACATACAGACTTTGTGCAGGCTCTTTGCTACAAGATGAGTTTGGCTCCCTTTGCCCTTCTGGATCAGAAGAATAAGTATGGCTTATTCTAAATATGATATTCTTTTATAATAACATCAGTTGGACTAGATGATCACTGTTGGTTTCTTTCAAATGTTACTCTAATTCTATTCCAGTGAAGCTAATTGTGATGTTTTGGGTTGGGCTTCCATATTTTACGTAATTATTCTGAGAGCCAGAGGAAGGCCAGACACTATATATAAAAAACACTGAGGGAAATATCGAAATTGATAGTGGGGATTGCCTCCAATACTTTATCCAGAAGGCTGAGGGTGTTTCCTTAAATCTTCACCAAAGAATGAAGCAGTTGTTTCTCATTTGACTCTGTGAGTGGCACAAACACATAATCACTAGGGATTTACAGAGAGCAACTCAGGGAGCACATGAAGCAACTCCCATCCCACCAGCTGACTACCCAGGACCTGGCAGTCCACAAGGTTTGATGGCAACAGCCTCCCAGGCAGTCACACATTTTAGTAAACATCAGTAGCTCAGAAGGGTGGGTGGTGGAGAAATGGAAACTGCATCAGTAATTTGTAATTTGCAATTTGCTCTTCCAAGAAAAAGAAAAGAAATCACAATCCCTCCCTCACTGCCCATAGTTCTGTAGAGCAGTTCTGGTTTCAAAGAGCTTAAACTCAGTACAGGTATTTTAGAAGAAATTGAAAGTGCAGTTATCTTCACATGTCCCTTAAACACTGTTCTGCTGATGCCACTTTCCAGACATGGAATATAATTAACAATGCATAATCTCAGAAATGGAAAGCTATTTAGACTAATTATATATAGCAAAATAGTTTACAGAAATATTACTCCAAAGCCCGGTGTTGGAAGGTTCGAGCTAATGGGAGATACATGTTCTTCCCTAAACTAGCCATTTAACTGAACAAAAATTTTTTCCTATTGAAAGCAGTAAAAACTAGAAGCTGTTTTGATAAGTGCTACATAATGTATTATTTAATGCAGAAGGTTTCTTAAAAGGCTAATACTACAAGGAATTTTAAAAGTATCTGTGTTGTTCCATTTACAAGATCATTCAGAATAAAAGCGAAAGTCTCATGAAAAGTCAATGATGTTATCTTTGCTAAAGACTCTATTTTTAACAATTTCATTAATCAATTAATCTATAAATTTTAAGAAAAAACATTTAGCTGTCAAAGAACAAATGCTGAACCTAGTAGAAAAGATACAATTTATTCATTTATTCAGTTTGCAGTTAAGTAGAAATCTCCATTCAGCTGTGACATAAAATTGATGTTTCTACAATTAAAGTACATTGTAAATAGTTTCTAAAGTGTTAATAAATTACTAGAACTGTTTCAGGAAATTATTAATCAAATGTTATAGCCTGTTACTGAGTCCAGTGATGTAAAGAGCCATTTGCAATCAACTACAGCATCTGAAATTAATGTGCTTGGGACAATATACAGAATTTATTTCTTCTGCATATAATGAGTTTCTCACAGTTATTTATCAGCCTTTTGCATAGTAATTACCAAAGCAGTCTCAGAAGAACTTGTACAGAACATTTCTGGTCCTCTGTGGGACAAAGCAGGAAATAACTCAAGAGTCACTCATAATTGAAAGGGCAAAAAACCCATGGATCTCTCCGACTATCACCTACTAGTGCAGAGTGACCAAGACTTAAGAAAAACTTATCAATGTCTTAACTATGCAGAGATGCAAAAGTGACTTCATGAGCCATCTCATCTCCTGCTGGCAGCAGCTTTGGGCAGACAGAGTAAGGAGGGTCCAGACAAGCATACAGATGTAACTGCTGCTGAAAACAGAATGCTTAGAACTAAATTCTGCCTATATGTGTCAGCTGCACAAAGCCTCCTTGTACTTCCCTTCTCTCTGTAGTGTAAGATGACCATTATAGCTGTGCCATATTCATTAGCCTTTATCTTCCATAGATTTTTTAAGCTGATGAAAAAAAAAAAACCAAAACCCCCTATTTCCTTATCTTTCTCATTTGTTGATTCCTTTTTGCTCAACTCACATTTTACTGATGGTGTTCACCTAAGGGGACAAAGGCAAGAGGAGAAAAATCATAGGATGGCCTAGGCTTGAAGGGCCTTTAAAGATCATCTGATTCCAACACCCTGCCATGTCCAGGGACACCTTCCCCTAGAACAGGTTGCTGAAAGTTCCCTCCAGCCTCACCTTGAATACTTCTAGAGTCAGGGCATCCATAACTTCTCTGGGCAACATGTTCTAGTGCCTCACCATTGTCACAGTAAATAATTTTCCTTCTAATATTTAGTCTAAACCTACTATTCCAGTTTGAAGCCATTCCCTCTTGTCCTATTACGACATGCTTTTGCAAATAGTCTCTCTCTATGTTTCTTATAGGCTCCCTTCAGGCCTTAATATATTGCCAAATAACCTGATAGATATGTGATAGTATAATCTAATACAATTGCTGACAACCCATAAATATAAACCAAATACTCAACCTGTGAGATCCTCCACCTACTTTGTGTGCTCACACAGAGTATACTGCACATCAGGAGTGTGGATGAAGTGTGGCACACACCTTATGTGTCACTACTGTCACCTTTCGGCTGCCTCAGCTGAAGATTTCAACACAAAAAAACAAAATCAGAGATCAAATTGGAAATGTAGACTGGAAAAAATGTGCTGGAAAAAAGAATAAGTTTTGGAAAAAAAACCCAGTTTTTCCTCTTCAGACTGGGCTAAAAAATACCTGTGGCTTTGAAAATGTAGCAAACCATAATAGCACAAGACAACAAATATAGAGGGAGACAATACAGTGTTCTTAGTCAACATGTGTCTGCCTTTTCTGCATATACTTGCAAGTTCTCCTACTAATCTGGGAAGACATTAAAAAGCATACAAAACCAAGTACAAAAAGGGGAACCATATGATAGCTGTGATATGATGCTGTTATTGCATATGGCTGTCTTGAACAGAGGAAAGAGTAAGTAAAGCCATAATAAAAAAGTATGCATTGGTATATACCTTCCTGCAGATCCTGTATCAATTATAACATACTCTTTTAAGAATTCATGTCTCTATTCCATACACAAAACTACAGATGCATGTTACAACTAATGTTACAATAGAAGATATCTAAAAGAATACACTTAATTGGTAAACACAGTACCTTACCTCATGTCTGCTTTCTAATAATTTGTATCTAAATGTATATAAAAATATTTTATAAAACCACTATAGAATAATTGCATTAAAATTCTCTGAGTGATCGCAGCTGAAAGATTTTTCTCTCTGAAAGGCAGCTCTGTTGTTACTGAATGTACTAAGTATATATGGCATACAAAAGATCATCTATGAGATCCACTGGAGAAAAAAGTGAAGGAGAAGCCATGATGTAGTTAATTTTTAGTATGAGCAGATGAAACTCGCTATGCTCAATGGCTGGGCATCACACTTCACTCTGTTCACTGAACTTGCTGTAATTCTAAAATGAGATAAACAGGAAAAAAAGTATTATAATGTTTTCCTAGAATATAATGTAAAATTAAGAATGATAGCTTGAAAATGCTAGTAGTATTTCAAAAGGTTATTTATGGTTAAAATTAACTGCATAAAGTAATAGGCAAGTATCATCAATTTATAAACATAAAAATGAGAATGACACAATGTTTTCATTGGAACATGTAGATTACAATATCTTTGCATTTCTGAACAGTAGCAGAGATGAAAATGACAAAGCCCTCTTACCTCTACCTTTCTGACAGTGGAAGACTATTTCCTGCTATATGGCGAAGCTGAAGTGTAAATCGGAACAAATCACTTTCTATTAGTCTCCAACTCCTTCCTTGTATTTTTTTTCTATCCTATTCTGCCTATCCTGCCATGTTAACACTCAAAAATCCTACTGATCTCAGCACCTTAAAAAGGCACAGGAGGAATACATAGACTGATAGCTACAGTGTGCTGCTGCTATTGCAGTCACCCTGCCTTTTCACTCCTGTCCACTTTATCTTTCAGTGTTCAACACAATGAATACGTAAAAATCCCTGAAGTACATACTGTGAATATTCTGAAGAAGCATCAGCAGTATACGTACACTGTTCATAATTACATTTAAAATTTAAGGTTGCATGCAAGCCTTTCAGACTAAACTACTAAGCCACTATGCATAGGTTTGACTTGCCTAGCAGCTATGATAGGAACAAGCAATCAGTTCCTTAAAAAGTGGACTTTAACTCTCCCTTTTCATTATGAACGTTTGTCCTAGTCTATCCATGTTCCTGTTCCATAAAATGGGAATGCTAGTACGTAAATATCTTACAAGAATGTTAGGAAAGTTAACAATGCCAATAAAAAATGCAGACATTTTATAACACAACAATCATTCTAATTCATCTAATCAGACCCAGATAAAATACACAATAGCCAACCCCATTATTTTTGCCCTGCAGTTACCATTTCAACAAATTATTTTTTGTAGAATAACATAATGAAAAATGTTGAAAAGCACTGAAGAGAACATGTTTTTCTGGGCAACTCACTAGACCAACTGTGCCAACTCACCTTAATCTAGATAAATCAATGGAAAGTGGTTTTGTCCATAGGCAAGTCTGATTTAATTAGTTAAATACAAAGTGAAGAAAAAAAGACAAACTACCAAACCACAGACTATGATGAGTTTAATGTCTCCTGGAGGAGGCTCTGAGCCAAGCTGTGGCCATGTTTGAATCCTAAATAAAACCATGGGAAAGCACACTGCTTTTCATGCACGCTCCCACTGCCATGGCTGTGGAAAAGGATCATAGTTCAAGTGGAAAGTCCGGGTTTACCGTCTCTTAAAAAGGAATGCAAGAATCATTGAGCAAGTAAATAGATGATCAAGCCTCCCTTCTCCCTCTTGCTCTCTCTTCTACGTTGTGCAATCCCCCTCTTTCCACCAGTGAGCCAACACAACATGGTACAGTGCAGGGCAGAGACAAGATTTCTAACTCAGACCAAACTAGCTGGGGATCCAGAACCGTTTCAGTCAGACCAGTGCTCTGACGTGTGAAGCAGCTTCAAGCATCCCAGGCTGAGAAACAGGAGTGTGGCAGAACTGGCTGTGAGTTAATTTGTCTCACTGAGAGGCTGTGTTAAGTGTTTCTAGATGATATAAATCTTTCCAGTGGAGAATAAGCCCAGATTAAAGCAGCACAACACAGCACCTCTGGATCTATCATAGAAGATCGAGACATGGTTGCAAAAGGAGATGTGGTGATGGGAAGAGACTGCTAGCAGCAAAAAATGGAAAACTGCATTCCTCAGGCTGAGAACTAGTTGTAGATTACAGACAGATAAAAGATTTCTACATAAAAGGTTCACTGGGTGGATAAGACTTTCACAGACTTTAACCAATTGCTGTGAGCATCCAAGAAGCCCTCCAGGCTTCACCTACTTCTGCTTGTAAGTCTTACCCTGTGAATCTGAATGGCATCAATTGCTGAAGAAATAGATTCAAAAAATACAGGATTTTCAGAGTCAAGATTTCCACCATACTGCATTGCTTTTATCAAGGAACCTGCAATAAAACAAACACATGAGCACTGAGAAGGTAGTGAGGATATATAAACCCTCACGTTAAATTTTTTACTGTAAGCTGATACTTGCCTTTGCAGTGTGCTAGCAACACATCGATGTATCTGTTTTTACAGTCCATGTAAATCTATGTTTGAAAACAAGAAACTTTTTTTAAAAACTGTTTTAAATACCGACATAGAAGAAAGTACTGTAGAAGAAGCAGCTGTACTGCCAGCAGCCACCAGAGCGAGCCCTTCTATAATGCAAACATCACATTTATTTCCTGCCAACTCTTTATAGTATTCTACAGCTCTGCTGAGAATTAAAACTGAATTTGATTAATAATTTTGCAATTTCTGACTGTAGTTATTAGGGGTACTCTAAAACCAGAGTAGGACATTTTTCTGCCAAATGGGAAATATCCAATGCAGTTGCTGCTTCAAAAAATGTTTAAATTATCCATGTGAAGTAAAAAAATTCTGAGAGAGGAGATTCAGAGAGAACCCCATGAGAATATTCTATTTTTAAAATAAAGCAAAAATCTTAGTTCAAAAATCCTCTGTCTCTGACATCAGTGATGATATTTTGGGAAGGAGTGTAACAACAAGGACATGTTGAGTGTGGTCCTCTTGGTAGGAGGAGGAGTAACTTGGTTTTGGACCAACCGTTTATCCAGAGGCTGCACTACCAACCCATGCACTTCTCAACCCACACCAGACTTACCTCTCACAAACACTTCTTTGACATAATTTGTAATTTGGAGGTCTCCAAGACCTTTTGGAAATCAGTTTCACAAATTTCTAAAATATTACTATATTGAATGCCCTATATTTCAAAGGGATAGCTAATAGTCAGTCCCACTAACCTTATTTTTCCAGTTTTCTTTTTTCATTATATCCCTGCCTTTATGTGTAGTTTTAATCTAAAATATTTTAAGGCAGCGTTTATTTCACTGTGCAATCACTGCAGTAAATTGAGAAAATTGTTAAGGCAAAAAGAGGTTGGGCCAAGACCCAAGTTCAAATCTAGTCCTTTATCTTAGTCAGAAAAATCAAGCAAACCAAACCTTCCATACCCACTTAACTCTGTACTCACTACACAACTTTTAAACTCCAGATTTGATGTAAGTGTATGAAACAGCTTTTGAACTTAATTTTTTATCCAGCATATAGAACTGCTTGTTATGTGGAACTGTAGACTCAGAATTGTTTAGGTTGGAATAGACCTTTAAGATCATGGAGTCCAAGCTCTAGCTTGGCATTGCTAAGTCCACCCCTAGCCCGTGTCTTTCCATCCACTCTGTCCCAGCCTAGGGTACTGCCTGGAGTTGTTGTGATTCAGGTGCAGGATCCTGCACTTTGCCTTCCTGAACCTCACACAACTGGCCTTAGCCAATGGATCCAGCCTGCCCAGACCCCTCTGCAGAGCCTTCCTGCCCTCCAGCAGATCAGCACTCCCACCCAGCCTGGCTATCTGCAAACTCACTGAGGGTACACTGTCCAAATCATCACCAAAGACATTAAACAGGACTGGCCTCAAGGGAACACGAGCTGTGGCCAGCCACCATCTGGATTTAGTTTCATTCACCACAGTAACCAGTGACCTCTGGGTTTAGTCTTCTGGGAGCATCTTGGAATTCCTGCACTGCCTAAACCCAGTCTGCAACGTATGTTGCCCACAGGAGAAAGGATGGAGATCATGTTTCAACCCCTGGCTTAGCAGACAGTAAAATATACAGACAAAATCACAGAATTAAAGCTGAAATTTTAAAGCAGTAAATTTACTTGTCTCTACAACTGACTTGGCAGGGTCAAATATGACTTATACCAACTTAAAAAAAAAAAAAAAAAAAGGGAAAAGTTTCAAAACTCCTCTTCATCACATATAGATATGTACATTTGCACTGTTACCCAAAATATTTAGAAATATTTTAATGTAATTTTATAAATAAGCATTGTACAGTTTAATATCAAAATGTTGATCTTTTCTATGGGTGAAAGATTTATCCGCTGACATAGGTGGAGTGACTAGTAGCTGGCCCAAATAACTCATATGTATAATTATAACATATACAGAATATTTCTAATGTCATTAATACCTGAAGAAGCACAGAGACTCCAGTGTAGTCAAAGAAATTCAGTCCACTGCAGTCTAATATCAAAATATGTCGCTCACTGTGACATGGCTGCACCAACTCACCTACACATTTGATAAATGAAAACCGTTAATTAAAAGGAGAACACTCAAGAAATGGGTATAAGAATGATGATAGCTCAACAAAATAAGCCCAAACTATCACAATAAAAATTTTATTGTTATGTGCTGGGGTATCAGGCAAGCAACTGCCATATTTTAGAAGAACAAATGAAGAACCTTTAGGGGAATGGAAAGAAGTGATGACAGAATATATTAATTGAGATGTTTTAGGCAATAGTGTCTCAAGAATTAAGTAATTGTTTCTTCAAATTTGAATTTCGCATTGAGTCCTCTTCTATTCTTTGGAAGATTTTTCATGGTATGAACAGAAAATATATATATTTTTCTTTTAAGCTCTGATATGACACTGATTTCCATAGGCCCTAAATGCCTGCCTATGGCTTAACTTAATATTCACCCATAAGGAAGAAATATATGTAAAGTAGAGTATTTCATTTTCCTAAGGTTTTACTATGATGGTTTTGCTTGGAAAATTTTTTAATACACCATTACATAATGATGCTGGAGAAGAAAATTGTGTTGGTAAGGTTTGCAAAGTTCTTATACTAATTCTTCAACCTCAGGCCATCTTGTGTTTAATCAAAACATACTCTGTTCTAAATGCATCCTGAGCTAACACACAGATAAATGATTCATGGCTTTCATAAAGGGAAAACTAGAAAATAATGCACATCATCTTTACATTGTTCTGTGAGCAAATGTTTGCTATCATAATGCATGCAACTGAAAAAAAAATTAAGGAAAGGAATTCTAATTGTAAAAATGAGTTGAGCTAAATGGCTTTGGCAGAGCAGAGGTAAAGATTTTAAACTATTGAGGGGACTTGGAATTTCCCCATTATGCAAATTTATAGTAGCGGTAATTCCTTCCTCACAGTCGTCTGAGAGCAAAGACTTTTGGACTTGCATCTCCAGACATTTACTCTCTCTGTACTGTCCAATATACGTTAATAGATACATCCAAACAAAAATATATAATTTTAAAGGGAACCTGCTGAAAATTACTGTGAGAGAAACCCTGATAGAGTTCATGTGATCTCTCAGGCTCAGTGTAATAATTCCCTGCTACATCCTGAATTGCAGTAGAGACTGCCTGGCCTCTAAATGGGGGGATAGGTAAAGACCTGCACCCTCTTTAGATCAGTGGCAGGACTTAGGCATTCAGAAAAGAGGCCTTGTGATTTATGTCAGTTTTGTGATATGAAACCAGTTCATCTTTAAGATGACTGGAATATGTGCTGGAACGATCTTCTCAAACATAAGATTCTACAATATAGTCAATAAAATACAATATCATCTTTAATGACCATTTTCATAGGTTGCTATACTACAGCAAAGCACTCTGTCATCCCGAGGTCAACTAAACACTGTAGTGGTTAGGACATAAAAATGTCCTGAGTCTAGTTGACAAATTCAAATATTCAGACAACAGCCTCCAAATCAGATTTTCTACTGCAGCCTTAATGCTTATAAGTGTTTTAAATAAACACTGTTTTAATTCTATCCACAATGAAGTCATCTGTATAAAGTATCCACTGCAAAAGGTTGCTGCAGCTCTCCCATGGGAATGTATATGGTCTGGCTTGATTTAAGTGTTACAAAATGTGGAAAGAGTGGAGTTTCCAGCTTATTCCTTGAAATAAAATCCCTAGGGCTTTTTATTATATATTGTATAATATTGGTAGTTATCGTGTCACTAACAATTCAGTTAGTGAATTTTCTGGGATTTTCTCCTATGTGGCTTTAAAGATACCAAAGATTTAACATGGTTATTATCTTATTTTCACTTTTTCATACTAATATTCAACTTGGCATGCAAAAGCACCCAATTCCAGAGCCTTCAGTCTCTTTAGCCTGGTCTGAAGATCAGTCCAGGCAGCAATACAGGAAGTGCTCCGCCACTATGTACCTGTCTCTTTACACATACACACATTCCAGTCCAATAAGCAGGGACATAGTCAGAGGATGGTTTGGATTGGAAGGGACCTTAAATCATCCAGTTCCAAACCCTGTGTGGTGGGCAATGAGATTTCAAATAGAACCTTCCACTCCTGTAGAAAATGCATTTTCAAGGGGTTCCCTGCCTTTGAACCAGTCAAAACCAGAATGAATAACGGGACTTATTAGGCCAAGGTTAGCATAATTTAACACTGTTTAGTATTCATGCTTCATTGAGTGTTTGGTCTAACTGAACATATTTATTTCCATAAAACTTGTGTCCCCCTAGAAATATATAGAAAAAGTGGAACTATTTTGCACACTTACATCCATCTTGGTTTTAACACCATTTGTAGATAATAAACTCACCATGACAACTTCCATTGGAAAATGAACAGAGCAATGTGTTCTGCTCACACTGAAATAAAAGCAACAAATGCTTAACATACCAAGGAAAGCCAGTCCATTGCACAGTAACAAGAGAAAAATCAATGCACTACATAAGAATTCTGTTTCTCAGTACCAAAGTTAACTCCTTCACTCCAAAATCATGTCCCATGAAATAGCCTATTGCATATATAATATTTTCTGGTATAACTTTAGAAGAATACTGAGATACATACTCAAACCGATATTTTGCATTTCTTTTTTAGCTGACTCAACCTCTGTCAAATTTGGATACACTAGAAAGCAAATTTTGGACACAATGTTTTTGGGGAAGTGGGGGGGGTGGTTTAGAAGTGGTCAAAAGATGGGAAAAATGTTCTTGACAAGAAAAATTCTTGGCAGTGATTTTATAAGATTAACTTTTGATTAATTTTCTACTTGCTGCAATCTCATCTGCTATGCTAATATTTTAGTAAGAACATTTTTGATGTGTAAATTTATTAAGCAATTAAATTTATCTGGGTAATTTTCATATTAGTTATTCCAATATGCTAGTTCTCAGTAGAAACATGAGTTAAAACCAGAAACAGAGCACTGCATTTTTTTCACACCCATTATGTGCTACAGAAAGACATTTACTCAACCAATTAAAAAAAAAAAAAAAAAATTAAAGAAAAAAGCACAGTGTTTCAGGCAGCTGTACTGCTGAGTACCTTACAGAAGAGACAAAGGATAAAATCTCCTTTATAAGTAACATACAAATTAACTTATTAAATTGACTCAAATTAATTCAATGCAAATCCTAAGTAATTTCTCTCTGTTTGGAGGCTTTTTATCATACTAAGCCAAATCAGTCAGCCTAGCAAAACCGAGGGAAAAAAGCATCACATTTTCTGAGCTGAATTTATACCATATGGGTAGCATAACTCTTTGTCAAGGGACAGCAGAGGTGGTAGACACATGTTGCTGTCTTAACAACCCATTTAAGGCACAGCTGGGATTTCCTCAGCCCAATTTGCCAAGCTGGATGAAATTGTCTACAGTAAGCATTGTATCCTTGTCGTGGTTTGACATGGAAAAGACTTTTCTCGGAAGGAAGAGGGTCAAACCAATCAGTGGTCGGGGTTAGATACTGACGCTTGGGCTGATCATTGAAGGTTGGACACGCCTCTGAGAACACAGAGGGGTTAAAAGCAGAATTCCCAGGAGAACTTTCTCTCTTTGGTTCCGGTCAGGGTGCAGTGCAGACTCACCCCTGCCCGGCCATGGCTGGGTGGGGGAGGAGAGCCATGCGGCCTGGCTGAGGTAAGGCCGAAGGGTGGAGGGGCTGGAACCAGGCTGGGCCCCTGCAGATGGAAGGGTGGAGGATGTATCCGTTCTCCCCCCAGAGTCTCTCTGGAGAGAGAGAGAAAGAGACAGCAATGGTGCCAGCAGTACACCGGCAGAGGAGGTGGAAGGGTGGGGGGGAACAGCGTGGAAGATGGAGCCTGGGCTGAGAGTCATCCAGGGAGTTGGGACTTTTAACCCTTCTTGGGAAATGAAAGCTTCGTGAAATATTACTCCTCCTCGGCTTGAAAGAGAGGAAGAAAGACAGCCTGGGACCTGGGATGTTAGGAAAACAAGGTTGTGGGGGGAAGATGATGGAGTGGATTTTGGCTGGACTTTTTCTTGTTAGCCATAGACTGAACCAATTTTCTCCTCCAAGAGAGAGAGACTGTATTTTAGGAGGATGCGTGGTGAGCCAAGAGACCTGCTTCAGCAGCTGAGAAAAAGACAGGAGTGGAGTGAACAGAGAAAAGTTGAGGAGGGTTATGGTGATGCCACCTGTCTTCAGAGAAGAAGAAGAGAAAAAGATCTCTCTTCTTGGATCCTCGGCCCCAGAGGGAAATGGGGGTGACTGCGGTCCCAAAAATGAAAAGCTGAACTGTTGTTTTTTTTTCCTCTTGGCAAAGCATCCTTGAAAAGAAGAATCCTATGAGCAGTCTGTCCATGCATGGTGGTGAGAGCATTGTGCATGGAAAGGAGAGTGTCACACTGGCAGATTTTCTCTGGGTGGTGCCATGTGTGACATGGAAACACAAGAAGTGTCAGCTGTGTTTCTTGGGGGGTCTGTTGCACAGGAGGGACTCCTCTCTCCCTCGATGGACAGAGTATTGATTATCTGGAAGGTGGGAACCTGATTGGGGTCCAGGTTGTCTCACTGTGGTTTGTTGGAATTGTGGGGGCAGGAGGAGGAATGTTTTGGAAGGTTTTAATTTTGGTTTTAGTGTGTGTTGTTTCTTTTTCCTTTTATAGTAGTAGTACTTTAATAAAGTTTCTCCCTTGTTATTAAGCTTGGGCCTGCTCTGCTCTGTTCCTGGTCGTATCTAACAGCAAATCATTTGGGGGTTGTATTTTCATGGGGGCGCTGGCATTGTGCCAGAGTAAAACCATGACAATCCTATTGGAGTATCTTCATGGTACTGATAGAAAAATGATAGTTTATCTTTTCCCTTTTAGGAAGTGTTGCAGGAAGTTGCAGGAAGTTCATCCATGCAGATGAACTTGGAAAATACGATATTTACAGGGATATTCTCAAAAAATGTGATATACATAATTTGTTTACTGTTTCTTTCTCTAATATGATCAGTGCAAAAGAGGAAAAAGAAACAATACCGTTGAGGAAAAAAAAAGGAGCCACTTTCTTCCTAATTCTCTAAAAATTATTTATAGATAGAAATGAAATGTCCATCTCTCATGGACTGATCTCCATTAAAAAAAAAAATCACATTTTATTCAAGCATATATGTAGCTACTCATTGTCTTTCTAAAATCCCAGCCTTATATCATTTGATCTTATGGAAATTCTTCTAGAAATTTTTGAGTTTTGGATCAGTGCTTTCATGTCTCTTACAGGATCACATGCAGAAACAGAAGAGATATTATTCTCAAGTAATAATACAGAAATAGTCCATACTGAATCTGATTAAGATTAGGATTAGCTTTATTCTAAATGAATAATTTCTAATGTTACTTTTTTTATACCTGTTTCAGTATATAATTGAATTCTCTAAGAAATGCGAGGAAAGCAAATACAATCTTCAACCCAGTCACAGTGATTACTGAAGTGTAAGGGACATCCCACCTTGTTTACAATATCACCTACCTGGCTGTTCATGCCATCCTTCTGGATTATCTTTAACAGGTCAGCGTGAAATTTTCTGGCATTCAAAAAGACTAATGGGCTGTTGACTGAAACTATTTTTACCTGTTTTAGTGATTCCTGGGGAATGAAATAAACATAATACTGAAAAATTCATCTTGGATTTGGAGAACAAACCTCAGACTAATTTCTTTAAAAATTCTGAAAATAACTGTATTTGTATTGTGGGAATGATTTAACAGATAATTCTATTGATCAGCCTTCACATGTAACTGAAGTAAGAATGGAAATACGAGTAATATATAATAAAAATTATCTATAATGGTATTTAGCATGAAAAAAGCATACACATTATGAGGCATAATACTAAGAACTATTAGCTAACAACTATAATAGCACTTTATATTTTATAGCTGATTTGATCCCAAAGCATAAGCAGGGTAACATTTGCAGACAAGGAATACATTTTATTAGACAAACACATCTTGAAAAAGTACACAAGAATTTAGGGCAAACACTGCAGGTAGTTTGGGGAAAGCTGGCAATATTCATCTTGATTGTCTGAAGATGACCGTAGTACAGAGGTAGTTTTCCATGAAAATACTTAGTGGATCTAGATCAACCTTGAGTGGCGCATTTAAAGCTTTACCAGCACATTTCTACAACCAACACAGTAATCTACATAAGAACTCTCCATTGCCCTTGAACCTGTCTCTGCACTTCACTGAATAAGCTACAATCAGTTTACCAGCACCTCCAGTCAGACTGTGTAGCTCAAAACGTAAATGTTACACAGCAGAACAATTTTGGAAGGACACTAGATAATGTTCAGAAACCCCCAAGTATAAGTGGGAGATATTTTGCACAAAACAAGTGTCATTTCTCTCACTCTCAAGGTGTACATATAAAACATCTTCAAAAGCCAGTAAGAAAATTAATATTTATATATAAATATATTGGACAGCAGCAAGATATGCTTAAAGACTGGTTTTGTAGAGGAACTTCTGTAGAAGTTGATTCTACTGAACTCCAAATCTTCCACAGGTTCAATGACAATGGAAGCAAAAATCAAGAATTTGCAAGAGAATATAGGTCAAAAAATACTCTCTTTCTTCCTAATAAAAGTCGTATAACAAGGTCACAGTCAAACACAAGTAACTGAAGCCGACACAGACCATTTTTTAGATAGTTAAAAATTGCTTGGGATTGCATTGAAGATAGGCAGTTTTCCCAACAGACTTTCAAGCAAAACAGTAATGGAAATCTCACCACAAACCACATAAACTATCTCCTTATTGTAGACTACTTTTCAGACTTCTGGGGATGACATGATCTCTCAGATACCACCAGAGTGACCATAAAATAAAAGAAATATTTCAAACATCCCGAACTGAGGCAAAGAACCCCAGACTATGTGTAGGGAATTTGCCTATGGATGTGATTGCAGTAAATACCACAGCTGAATTTTGCCACAGTGAGACACATGGCAAAACTCAACTGGCAGTTAAAATGTCTCAGTTTGTATGGAATAGAACTCTAAAATAAGGGCAAAACGAAGGATGGTATATGCTTGAATGGAGAAATGCTCTGACATGCCACAGACTCACGCAAAAATGATGCTATATACACCTTGGTGTGGAGACAAGTGGACACTTTATTGTCATGGCAAAGTAGAAGATAAAACATTAGAAAAAAAAGGAAGACTGATGTGCAAAGATCAAATCCTGTGATGATCAAGCTTCCAAAACTACAAGGTCCAAAACTTGAAAGGCTCAAATCATAAGGCCAGATCAAGCAGATGGCAGATTTAGGCATAATTTTTGTCCAGAATGGACAAGATCAACTGTGCCTAAATTTGACCAGCCAGTTATTCCTGGCTCTAATTTGCCTCTTTGTTAACAAGAACTGTTTAGAGAAAAATGAACTTCCTCTTTGTTGTGTCCTTGCTAAGAAAGCAGGAAATTTATCTCACGTGTCTGTTCCTGCCACCACTCGGAAGGCCCTGGGCGACTGCCCTGTGCACTCAGCACAGCGCTGGCTCTGCTCGGGTACGAGTTCCGTGCCAGTGAACGCCTGCGATGAAATGTGTTTCACATAAGCTTCTAAATACCCTTTGATTTTTTCCACATTAAAGTGTCTTTTCTCTTATTGATGAAATAACCCCTATAAATCCACAGACCTTAATGGCAGGGTAGATCATTAAGCTTACATATTTTCATGTTTAAAAGTCCTGTTGTTTATGTCTAATCTGTTACTTACCAGGGAAACTTGGATCAGTCTAACACTCATACATTAAAAATTACCCTAAATGCCCGCTGCAACCCAGTGACTCTAAATTCAATTAAAGGGCATATTTTCCTTCTTTGTTTTGTGTAATAGCTCTTGAGCAATTTGCTTCTCTAACATAATGTTATTTTCCCCACTGTCTGCAGACATTAGTTTGTTATTAGGTTACTGGCGTTAATCTTACTGAATTAGGGGGAAAAAAAGCAGGGGACCAGTAAGCTTAAAAAAATATATATAGGCATTTATACAAAGTGCTTCATGAACCGATATGAAAAATAGCAGGCAAATCAAATTTTGGTTATCCATCTCTGACAAAGTTACTCCAACGTTTTTATTAAGAATGAAAAGTGATATAATAATTGACAGCTGGTCCAGCCTCAACAACAGTGTTTTTAATTCCCATTTCAGAGTCCTCCCCATTCTTATGTAGCTTTCATATTACAGTGTTTCTCAGCATGCCAAAACAGTAAATGCCCTTGAGGCCTTGGAAGTTCAGATTTTTAGCCCAAGATGGCTCTGATGGAAGACATGTGCCAGAAATAATAAATTCTTTAAAGAAGATCTGCTTAATGGTGAAACACTAACTGCTGAGCATGTAGTTTACTGATACGTAACACCCTTCATCAGCACTAGGAAGGGAAAAAGGACATAGGAGAAACTGTGACAGTGGAGAAGGCAGGATATCCTGGTGATGGGGCTCTGTGCTGAAAGGACACATGGTTCTACTTCTCTCTTGGCTGCTGACCTACTATTTCATCTTGGAGGAGGGAGTTCACCTCTCTGGGTGATTACCCTTCTCTTCTTACCACAGACCTGAGCAAAGAGCAACTTTGACAGTAATTGTAATGAAAATAACCAAAATAATCTGATTGGTTGGTTTAAGTTTGTAAGAAGCCAAATTTAAAAGGCACAGACTTTGGAAGAAATTCTTCCATCGTTTTTCATGTGCACAGGGTGATGAAATTTGTGAAGCAGTCTGTAACAATTTTGTGGTGCTGCCCCTCTTTGCCCAGCCTCATGGTATCCTCTGGGACAATCTGGTCACAAGGAGATGTGGCAGAAATGGCTTCAGAAAAAAGATTGGAGATGATAAAAATAACAAAGGACTTTTAGGAAAAGGAATTATAATAGAGATTGCTATTGTCTGCTCAGATTGCCCTTGCCATTCTTGCAAAGATATTTTCTTGAATTTAGGAATTAGGAAACGTTGAGAAAGAGCAATTCATAACTAAAAATGACAAATAAACTAAGATAAATGAATCTAAGAGGACTTGCCTAACTTCACTTTGCAGACAAGCAGCAGAACCATGAAAATATTCCAGTTTCTGATGGCCAACTATAATATTATTATATTATCCTGGCTTTAGATTTCAAGTGGTCATATCATAAAATCATTCCCTTGAATTCCCAATTACAATCTGGTAACTAACTAGAGAAAACAAATCTGAATTAGTGAAAAACACACACAAACAAAAAGTAAAAAAATAAATTAACTTACACAATTATCTTCTGCTTTATATTTATATTCCACTTCTTTCATATTTTTCAAATTCAGTGTCTTTGCTCTGTAATCAATATATAGAGAAAAATCTGTACAGTTAATCATTAGTAGCCTTGAGCAGAAACAAAAAGACACACACCCCAAGCTACGGCATAGCAGTTTAAAGGCCCCACAATGCAATCTGTGAGTATTTTTGTGATTACAAACCTTTTCTTTTCTAATCATCCTTTTAAAGAGTAAAAAGCTCATTTTAGAATTGTGAAATCACTTTGAAAATATGATTAATTAAATTCTCTTATGAAGAATATCTTAATTTTAATTTTCATTTGCTGGCCAGAGCTGCTTTCAAGTCAAGGTAGCTTGTATATAATCTATATCTGCAAAAGTAAAGAAGTTTAATTACTATTTTTTACCTGTAAAATCATATTGTAAGGAAAGGGAAAATAAATATGTAGAATGGGTGTTGGTTATGAAAACCAAAGATATTTTATTTGTCATGGAAATTGACACATCTTGACATGACGAAGCAGAACATTGCACCCTAGCTATCAAAATGGGGGACTTACTAGAAAGCACCAGTATTCCTACGCTGTCTACAGAGAGAAAAGAGAATATTGCCTTGGAAAGGGAGTTCAGTGTTAGGATCTTCTGATTCAACATGTCATTTACAGGAACACATTTAACTGCAGAAGACTATGGTACTATCTATCCTCTGGGACAGATGCACCAATATACAAGGAGTATTTGCAGGTATTGGGCCAGATAAATCAGCCTTGCAAACATCAGCTGTTCTTTCATCTTTACATAAATGAAGCTGTAGCTGCTTCTGGTTTTAATACATTCTGATACATAATATGTACCACATCCAGTACCCTAACATCTGAACAGAGACTTTACAATAAATAATCTATGGTATTTTCTTTGCTTCACTTCTGCTAACACTTCTGCTCATGACTGCATGGCTTACTATATGTTATCTTGTTAACTCCATCTGTGCTGTGCCAGTTTTAAGGCTGATACCTTCTTCAATGACTTTAGATGGTATGGACAACCATGTACTGCTTTACTGAAGAACACAGAGATCACTGGGAAGAGTCTTATTTACATTAATAAGTGCAGGCTCAGACTGAGGTCTCCACTAGATCAGGCTCTTTTGTGTTAGAAATTCATCCGTTTCTGCTGTTGGAGAACCTCTAATATCCAGGCTCAGGACAAAAACAACATGAAAACTTGCCTTTTGCTTTACTACAGAATTTTAAAAAATTTAGTTTGTGGAGTAGCACAATGTTATCACAAAAGGACTGGTTGATTCAATCAGAAGCAATCTCCCATAATTTTTAACTGCCTTGAAATTTTGGACTATTTTCATGCTGGTTCTGCAACTTATTCTATGAGAACAGAGCTGTGCACACATGTCTAACACCATTAACTTTAACAAGCATTTAATCAAGGTGTCTATATTGTGCTTAATTTCAGTGGGATTCAGTGTTCATGCAAACAACTGCATACAACCAGCAAGTCATTTCCAGGACTGGTGAGCTGTGAATTAATTCTATAGCATAAATAAATCATGAACCTCAGCTGTATTTCCTTTTACTCATGATCCAAAGTAGCAACTGTAATATATTAAAATAAAACCCAAAAAACAACTTCTGATTGCTCTATTTTATTTCTTCTGACTTTTCTAAGTCATACATAGAACTTACACTTTTTGTTAGACATTAGAATAGTTGCACAGTTATGTTTCATTAAACTATATTAGTAGTGCAATTGTCAACTACCAACTCCTGTGCAACAAAATACCTAGGAGTTTATAACGACTCTCAGTTACTAAAGCTTGCCAGACATACTTTTTCCTTAAGGAGCAAATAAATATCTAATGGAAATAAATATTTTTAATCTTCTAGTTGATTTTATGCCAACTTCACATAATCAATCCTACAGATGTGCAATAACAAGAGAAATCACAAAATAATGCCATTTAATAAAATGTTTTAGAGATTCCGTAGCCTACGGTAAATGGACAGATGTGACTTTTACTTTTGAATTGTCTTATCTTGCAATTTTCTGCAACTAAAACACTGAAGCTTTGTTGTTAAATTTAGTATACCGTATGTCTATCCCGACTGTGAAGCAATACGCAGAATGAATACATAATGAAGTGCTAGTGGAACATTTTAATAAATTGTTTCTTACCTGGGAAAGCGGAAAATCACAATTGCTATAGTGCAGACAACGCCATACAACAGTCCCACATTAGCAGCAAAGCATATTGTAAACACATAGGTACTAACCCAGATGCTCTTTGGGAGGGGAGCAAAAAGAAGTAATTAGTTTCAAATTTTATAGCAATATGCATTTTATGAATCAGAAATAAAGATTTTTAAAGCTAAGGTAGTTTCTCAGATGTGAACACTTGGATCTTTGAACTGACAAATACTGAAGACTGAATTAGCAATTAAAGTTATGCCTCTCCACGGGGGACCACATGCAGCATGGCACAACTCATCCCAGTGCTCACAGAGGCTCCTTCCAGGGTTACTTAAAATAGTATTCTATTTATTCTATTAATTTGTACTTCTGCTAACAGCTTAAGTCAGAATAAACTCAGTTGTTTTGGAAAACCTGTATTTTATTTTTCACATTGCAAATTCTCGTCATCATTTTCACTCCATAGATTTTAAATCCTCCTTTCCTTTCACATAATGAGGTGCCCTAATGAGGTCACATACAGAGAGCTTTTCTTCCACTAATCATATAATTGGGAATTATGATTGGCAAGGAGGCTGATTAAAAGTGGCATTTTTTATCAGAGTACAGCTGACTAAAACAACTCTGTAACAAATAAAAATTACTGGGGAATTAATTCCTTCCAATGGAAATGGTGAGAGTTCATATTACTTCCCCATCTTTCAATATTTGATTACTTAAACTTTGGATTAATTTAAAATACAAATTTAAAAAATACTCAGAAGCATATCTGAACCTAAATCTGAACTTTAAAAACAAATTTTAAAAAACTTTACAAAGCTTTCACATTTCAATTTTTCCTTAATTATTTTTTTACTAGAAATGATCACTTTTCTTTCCATACTACAATGATGTGTACAGCTAAGAGACATGCAGATTTTACAATTAAAAGAAGTACAAATTACTCAATTTCTTTTACCAACCTAATTGGTATCATAAAGCACATCTTTCTTTCCTTGAGGGAGCCTTAAGCAAAGACTGCCATCTAATCTTTATATAAAAGGTGTTAAAAAAGAATGGAAAGTATTTTCACTCCTCTGGATATACTGATCACCACAGGTGCCCATTTCAAGAATTGCAGTGCTGCTTGTTCATGTTTGCAGAATAACAGATCATATTACAATGGCACGATCATTCTTAGGACTATCTTTTCTGGTGTTTTCACTTAACTCACGAAAGTCAGAGACAATAGAATACTTTCAGCCCAACCACAGGAATTTTGCTTGAGCAGGTTTCAGAACTGTTATTTTATGAATTATTAAGTGTAAGTCATACCATACTAGCTTGTGCTTCACAGAGGACAGAGTGCTACATGACTCCGTCAAGAAACCTTTTTCTCCCTCATCTTCAACCTTTTTAACTAATGCAAAAGATTTTCAGTTTCTTCAACAGGAGGGCTGCTAGGTAAGGAGGGAGTCCATCCTCTGAAACTGTCCTCAATCACTAGTTGTATTTTAACATGACATCTTATACGAATTGTTGTGTGCATATTGCAAAGATCACCTTTATGAGCAAGAGATATTGAGTTCTGATTAATGAATAAGAAAGTAATGCTAAGATTTATAAATCCCATATACATTTATAAAGAAGCTTACCTGGATGTGAAAAGGCTAACAGAACTACTAAAAACCTGAAAATAAGTGAGCTCAGGAATTAGACTATCATAATAAGGCTGAACCCTTGACAACACCTGAATCCACTCCAGTGCAATCCAGCTTAGCTGCAGACCTGAACCTCATCACATCTAACTAAATCACTGCTGCAGACCTGCAAAATTCTTATGTCTCAGAAGAAAACAGCATAAAAACACAATACAAAATCTGCATAAGAAGAATCAAAGCCAGAAATGTTTACGTACTGCTGACTACTGAGAAAGATAGTTAAGTGCCTCTCCAGCAGCCTAGTATCTCACATCTTAACTGTAATCAGAGACTGCCATTGTTGTAGAGGCTGAGCCAAAACAAGCATACTCTCAATCAATCACCCTTTCAGTGCTTTGTATTGACCTGGAATCAGTTCTTATTTAATTAGGGTAGCATCAAATTTGTAGAAAGAAGTTACGTTGATCTGATAGACTTTGGGGTTTTTTTGTTTTGTTTTGTTTTGTTTTAATTCATAGTTTATTGCAAAGTTCAACACAGAAGTGATAAAAATATGGAAGTTTTCTTTGGCAGTTTACTTCAATATGGTTATTGCAAACTCCAGGACAGATAGAATCAAATAAATCTTCAAATCTTAGCAATAATGTGTTATAGGCACATGTTAATATCAAAAATCAAAACAAAATCTGCCTTCAAAGTACTGTACAAATTTAAAGAAAAACTCTAAAGAGAGAGAGAAAAGAAACAAGCAAAAGAAATAGATTTATGTCAACTCCTGTACATATCAGAAAGTATCAGAAACACTGAGAGGTACAGTGACTGTGAACTGCCTCCTCTAGACTTTCCATTTCATAGAGTCTAAATATCCACCATTGATGACAGTCTAAAATCTGCATTTGGTAGGAAAAGCATCGTATAAACAAGTTGCAGAATACTTTCTGAACCTAGGGCTAAACAATGCAATGCTAAGGTATGGTGATAATAAGTGTTTCTGTACCAGTTTGAAACCAGATTATGCACTTCCCTTGTTTCATTGCAAACTGAGGAGACAATCAGCTCTTGCCTGAATGGGCACAGCTGTCTAGTTTCCTACTATAATCAATGGATTTAATAATCAGAATGAATAAAATTTAGATTGCAGTTCATCTAACTCCTACCTGGTTCTGCTGTTGCTTAATGGAAGAAGAAATGGACATGTCTCAGCTGACCAGTTCTGTGCTATCTGTAATGTGAGGCTGTGATGAGCTGCTCAAATAGAGGCCCTCCAGCATATAGCCAAAAGAAGGATCCCATTAAAGTCCTGCTCATTCCAAAACTGTTTCAGCAGAAGATGCTGGGAGCCCTGGAGGAGACTCTGGCTCAAAGGACTGAGTGAAGAGGCCATGGTCCCACATCCTTCTGCAGACAAATGACTGATGTGTGCATTCATCCTCAGCACACACCCTTCATCAAAACTTGGCATTCAAGTGAAGCCCACCACAGCCACAGAGCAGGAACTGCCTAATGCACTTAGGGACATGGTTTAGGAGTAGACTTGGCATTGTTGTTTAACAGTCTTTAAAGGTCTTTTCTAACCTAAATGATCCTTAATGATACTGAAGTGGTGTGGTAGTTCTTTGATACCAACTACAGCACAAGTAATATAACTCACACTAGCATATTCACTAATGTAGGAAAAATATAAAATCTCCCTAGGATGCTATAAGATAGAGTCATTTATGTAAAATTATTCTCACAGAAGAGATGGTTTCATACTTTGTAGAAAATTGTTTATATAGCAGAGCCCTGAGAACTCTTAGAGCCCTCTCATGAATCAGGACCCATGTGTGATGAACAAATTTAAAAGGCCATTTTCTTCCTGAGGATTGTATCTGAAGAAGTTCTAAAACACCCCAAGAAAATGGACTAATGAGATCCAGATTTCAAGGAAGACCATCTCTAGGCCCTCTCCTCTAAATATTTTGACAAAATAAATTGACAGGGTGTTGGATACGTGTCTCAGAAATTCACAGTGGCAAGATCTTGGAGGATACTTGTCAAAATGAGAACCTCATTCTTGGATCTACTTTAATTGCTGAATTAGTAGCATTCCTTACATCTTTTATTATTACTATGTGTGCATACAATTACAATTCATGCATCCATAACTGCCTCTCATCACAACACCATATGAAATTTTTACCATAAATTCTGGCCATTCTTCCTGCTTTAAAAGTCAGGCATGCAACCTGACCTTGTCTCAGCTGTGATCATTTTCTGGTCAAGATATATGTGCAGCTTCAAAATACTTTTTTTCTTTCTAAATGCCAGAGTATTTAATTGCTGAACTTCTCAAATCCCTCCTATATAACTCATGAAACGTATACTTATTCTGTTACAATTTTTCACTTAGAACATCACCTTCTAAAATATTTTGCCCCATCTTTGATTACTTTCACGTCCAGCTATTAACAGCAAATATAACATTTTTCTTTTCTTTTCTTTCTCAGCAGTCCATTGCCAGGCAGTAATTTTTGCCTGTCTTAAAAGGCAAAAAAGCTTCTCTGTGATCCTGAGCCTTAAAATCAAAGTTAAGAAGAATTCCACTGGCCTTTTTAGTAATACTAGGAGAGTACCACTAGTGTCATCAGCATTGTCGAGCTGGAGAATAAAAACAGCAAGTTAGTCAAGTTGGCCTGCATAAGAAATTAGGCTAACAGGAAGGACAAGGAAATTATCTTTTGACCTGAGGACCTGAGAAGTGAGATGTATTTACAGACAAGGCCAGATTAGCTTCCTGGCTGTTCTCAAAAAAAGCGCAAAAAAGATCGAGACAAGTCACTCTCAGTTATGCATATAACATACGTAGTTGAATAATGCAATTATTAATCTGAGATTGTTGAAGTCATCCAACCAAGGTGTAGGGACTGACAGAAGACCTTAACTGAAGCAGGAGACATTTAAAGTTCAAATGGCAGGAAAGAAAACTGTAGAATAAGGACAGTGGGGTAGTAGCTGAAAAGTAATCAAATGTGATTTGAAAGGCAGGATGTAAATCTGAAAGAAAAAACCACCCATGGCTAAAAGAAGAGATTTCATAGAAACACAGAATATCCTGTGATTCAAGGAACCAATGAATTTCCTCAACTCTAACCCCTAAAGAGTACCATACCTTCTACATTTAAAAGGATTATGTTTATAGAGAACTAATCAACAAATAATTATTAATCATTCCATTTAAGGAGATGCTTAAAGGAGTGTGAAGGAACAGGGTAACAAAATTCCTAACATTCTATTTTCATGCACAATCATTTGCCAGACCTATAACCAAAACAAACCTGACTTCAATGCTACATGACACACACCCTTCAAAGCATCAGCTCCAGAAAGAATAACTGCTAATTATTTCCAAATGTTTTGTTAGGGTTTCTATCTTCAAAACACTTTAGATAACCTGGGTGATGGAAAGATTCATTTCCAATGTTCTGTCAATTACTGGAGTGAATCCTTTCAGGTCAAAATAACACCAGTGTAGTTAAACAAATTACTGGCCTCCGTGGGGCTCCTCAGGGCAGGCAGCAATGCAAGATCAATGTTTATAGCCTTACTTTAAACTATGCTATTTAAGGCAAGGTGATTTATCCTGTCAAGCTAAGGACTGATGGTAAAACTACTTGAAGATAAATCATTTCTCAAGTATGTTTAGTCAAAAAGATGAACCCAGCAAACTCCCCCGTTCTATAACCTCTCTTAGAAATTATGACAGATGTCAGAGAAGTAATAACTAACTAATCACACAACCTTTTCTGCCAAAACCAGAAAAGCAAAAATCAATCAGGTTAGTTTATCTGTGAAGACATGTCAGATCTAGTGAGATTCCAGAATATCCTGCTGAAAATGTAACTACTTATTATCTCAATGAACTGATGGAGAAGATATATATCTCTCCCACAACTATCAATGTTTTCAAGTCCACTGTTCCCAAAAGAATTCTTGATCCACAGCATCCATAATTTCTGTCATTGGCAATATGGGTTAAGATCAAATACAAAACAAGAGATAGAAAATATTTTCAGAAATTCACTGCTTGAGGAATAAAATATTTCAGGAAAGACAGAGCTTTTCTTCTGGTTAATTAAAAAAAAAAAACAAAAAACCTCCCCAAAAAGAGTTTTCTGAACCTCTAGTTTTCTGCAACCAAGTGCAAAAAGTCTCACAGTCGAACTTGATGTGGTTCACTCAGTTCTGTTTCCCATAAAAAATCCAGTGCTCTAATAAAAAAAAAAGTTTTATTCTTTCTAGACTTAACCATTACTGCTATAGAATGCTAAGTACCTGGTGGATTCAAAAAAGTCCAATATTAACTCGAATTACCTGTATGACCTACCACAGAAAAGGACTATGTGGCCAAAATACCTTTCTGAAAATTGTTAACTCAATCATATGGGATGTCAGCATGTATGTATTTATGTAAGTGCATAGAAATTTTAGTTTCACTAATTGGCCATTACACCCAACATCTCCCACAGAAGAGAAATCCAGGAGTCTTCTTACACATGGATTCATCTTTAGTATTTGCTTGGAATTCTGTGTGAATTCTCTCAGATTATTTAGATTTTGCATTAAACTAGATTTTCATACTACCTTCACCTATCTACTTTTTCTGATGTATTCCTCCTCTCATAGTGCAGAATCTTTCAAACACTAGATAGAACTATGTTCAAACAGCAGATAGAATAGATTTCTGCAAAATCAGAAAGAGTCAAGACAATTTATTTACAGCACCCCTCAATATTTATCTTTCTGCATCACTAGTGTTTCCACTTCTGTTTGACCTATGTGGTCATTCCCTATTCCCAGAGGATGATGATACCAAAATCTCTTCAATTATGCTACAATAGCAAAAGCATGCTAAATATATAGAAAAGACATAAAAATTAGACACATGCTTACTGACGTTAACTTGATCTGTCTGTATACACATCTCTAGTATCAAGTTTGATTCTTTATCATTTGTTAAAATGTTATTTTTTAATACAACTGATATTACAGATGATAGATGCTGTTATTCTGAGCTGATAGTGCACAAAAAGTACTATTAATGATGTCTTACACTTATTTTTTCTAGGACCACAGAACTGTTAAAGTTTAGTTAACAGATATTTGCCAAATGGTCTCAGGGAAATCTCCTTAGATTAAGTTCTACTTACCCAGTCTATTTTATCCACATTCCAGTATTTTTTTAAGTCACGGAACTGCATTAGCATACCCTTCAAGCCCACAACAATAATGCTTGCTAACACACACTGCAAAAACATAAACACAAAAGTCATTTTCTGAGTTGCTAGTGAAAACTAATGCTGTTTCTTTTATTTAGCAATCAATATCATAATTAAATTGTAAAAAGAACTGGTAGGTGTTTAGAAAATGGGATAAGCATGGGTGTCCTTGTGACAGCTGCTAACAGCAGCAACCACCCTATCCCCCTTTTTTTTTTTCTTTTTTTTTTTTTTTTTTTTTTTTTTTTTTTGTGAAGGAAATCTACAGGTTACCTAAATGAGAGAAAAATAACAAAAACCTCAGGACTACTCAAGACCCTTCCATGCATCACCAGACCAAGTACATTCTGCCACAGTCTGAGGACTCAAAAGCAAATCATCACTCAACTTCTATGCAGTGAAGAATTGTAACTCCCCTTCCTCACTTCCTTCCCTTCCCCTAGAGAAGGCCTCTAGGGCAAAGGTCCATTAATTTTGAAGCAAAAAAAATTTTTTTTTTGTTCTTTGACACAGGAGGGAGGAGGGGATGGATGAAGAAATCATCTAGAGCCAAAAAAAATGCAGTACAAATCAATGGACTTACAGTGCATAAACAGGGCTGAAAAAGCATATTAGAAGAGAAATAAATTACCAAGAATGCAAAAATCAAAAAGTATTTTTAAAATATGAGGTGGGGGGGGGGGGGGGAATCCTACAGGAAACTTGTCAAAATTTACCCATAATCCATGTGAAAAGAAATGAAAGTAGGGAAGAAGTATAAAAAAAAAAGGACATATTGCGCACCCTTCTTCATGTGTCCTTACTTTGCATGGTTAAAATAAACTATAAAAGGATCTGTGTTTGAAAAGTGAGAACTTTCATGACACCATGCAAACAATAGCACAAAGCAAGTTTAAAACATAGTTGAGTTAAAACTTCATGTACGTACATGGCAGAATTGCGGATAATTTTGGAGCTGTATTTAGCAGCTTTGACATGCTTCTAGTTAAAATTAACTATTAATTTGTAATACCAAAAGCTAGATATAGCTTATGTGAAAAGATGCCACACTGCTTTAAAGAGTCTTAGCATAGATGTATTCCATGACAGAAATATAAGAATATTTTATAATCTTTTTGTAATTAAGCTTATATCACTATTTAAAATAATTTGTGTCAAATTTATTTGAAAAATAAATTTGTGTATCATGTGCATATCTGAAGAAATATCATGAATCTTCCTTAATTTCTACCACACTTTGTCAATTTACAAATCCACAGCAACCTGGGTGTGTATTTTTCATAAACTACATGCCAAAATAAGTAGAAGAGAAATTCACTTCTATACTCTTACATGATAGCCTATATATGTAACTATATATGTCTAAAATATATGTCTTATGCTGCACCTCTGTACTTTATGACTTCGAGATTTAGCATACCCTTACTATTCTTTTGGCCACTGAAATTAAATAGAGCTGTTTTAAAGGTTGCACTGTCTTTCCCTGAAAGATACCGCCCTTAGAAAATATTTGACATCATAATCTTTAAAGAGGTTAAGCACCATACCATAGGAAGCCAATACAGCAGAGGTCCAATTGTGTAGATCACTACAAGAATTACTACACAAGAGATAAGGCAAGCCACCTGAAACAATAAACAAGAGGTGCAGATCATTCAGTCTAAAACCAAAAAAAAACAACAAAAGAAATATTGAAAAGGATTAATTATAAAATATTGTAGACAAAGTCAACAATCAGATGTTGAAGGTGTTAGCTATTAATGTATCTGTGGATTGTATTTGCATATAATTTCAATTTTAATCTCTGATTATTACATTTAATCAACTACACTGATAACATAGTGAGAGAGCTCAACATCTGTGCTTGACCCTGCTGCCAGCACATGGACACAGATCAGAGCATCACTTACACGTCTGGGTATTAAATGGAATGTGTGTGTGCAATGTCTCATCCCAGAAGTTTCTCAGCACCCACTGTCATTCTGCAACTTATTTATAGCCATGCACTCTATGTTGTACTAAATAACAGTTCTGTCACAGCACTAAGCAAGAATTATGTATGCTATCAGTTTTTCCACAAGAGAAGACTTCTAACTTCTTTTGTTGGGATTAACACTGAAATGAAACTATTTTTAAACCAGAAACCATCAACAATTTCATTTTAATATCAGTATATTTACTTAAATACGATTAAAATATATTAAAGATTATAATGCAAGTAATATAAATTCAGGAAAATATATGGTCTAATAATTATATTATTCACAGTATACATGGTATTAATCTGATGGAAAATGACAGTAAAATTGCACTGTCCTATACCACTCTGAGTGCTCACTGTGTACTTCTGGTCTTATAAATATACAGTTCAGATTCACAGAAGGTTTTTGACGCTAAGTAGACAGATGCTCACTTTATTTTTATATTGATAATATGTTTCTTTACTAAAATAATTAGGTTTCATTTTAAGAGACAAGTTGTTAAAAACAAAACCAGACAAGTTGTTAAAACACTAGAAAATTAAAGTCATGGTGTACTTAAAAATACCATCAAGAAGGATAGACAGAATGTTTACATAAAAAGGGACAGAAAATCTGCAGGAAAAGTCACGAGGAACTTTTCCCTCTTTCTGCCTTCATGAAGAGCAAGAAAAAAAGTGTTGATTCTATTTGAAGGACGCTTCTATTCCATGATAGAATTCCTCACTTCTCTTTTCTCCCAGGAAAATATATCACTGAGGAACAAATGACAAAACTGCAATCCAGGTATAGCCATTTGAGAAAGAAGGGCTGCTCTGTGCCCTTGAAAGGCTCTTTGCATTTCTTCCATGTGTGATGCCAAACTGACTTCTCTCTAAGTTAAGGAAAGGCTTCTTTTTGCCTATGACCTGACCAATATTTATAAGTGATGATCTTGTCATCTCCTCATTCTATCTGGACAGCCACAAAGGAGAGCATTAAGCTGATGTGTTGCTTTCCAAGAAGGCAGGGGAGAGATTGTTATTCCTAATAAAATACTCTCGTAGTGCTAACTCATAGCCACACTCTTAGCTTTTAGACACAGGCACTGCTATACTGTGAAGCAAACAGATAAACCAAGGAGATTTTTATTGTGTGTTTGCTGTCTTTAAATCAAAATATAGTGGTTTCTTTTTCCATTTCATGTATTGAATAACCTTCTATCAGGGTCTTTCCCTATATGCACCAGAGCCAACATGCTCTGTACCCCACATGCCTCAAAATTATAAGTCTGCAGGTTACCTCAAATCTTCCATGGAAAAGCCAGTACAGCATGATCCAGTACTACTGTAAATTGCACAATCAGTACATTAACCAATTACAGAAGAGAATGTCTGTGAGGATGACAGCTCATTGTATGACATAAGATTCAACTAAAATACATGAAATAACTAATAGCCAAGTGGTAGCTAAAATATTTGCATATAAATACTTTTCAATATTATTATTTGTTAGATTATTCATTATGATTAAGTGAGTTCAGAGTATTCTGTAGGCTAATTAGCAATTATTTAACATGTAGATTATTGGAGTAAAGTCCTGTATAATTCCTTAATATTGTGGCATCTGCATGAGAAATAATTGGCAGGCATGGTTGAGGAGAAACAGTACCTATGGATTGTATTTAGTCTTGTACCTCAGGAACCTTTTCCTTAAAGCTAATGTCCTTTATACAGGAGAGAGAAACAGCTATACAATCAAATTAGAATCATTGAATCATAGAACTGTTAAGGTTAAAAGATGTTAAAGGTTAAAAACCTTTAATGTAATCAAGTTAACGGTCAACCCAGCACCACCACCATGTTCACCATTAATCCATGTCCTCAAGTGCCATATTAACACAATGTTTGAAAACTTCCCAGGATGGTGACCTGCAGTTACTCTGGGCAGTCTGTTCCAATGCTTTACAGCCCTTTCTGTGAAAAAAAACAAGTCCCGATATCTAATCTAAACCTTCCCTGGATCAGCCTGTTGGTGTTTCCTCTTGACCTGTCACTTGTTACCTGGGAGAATAGCAACAAACTCCAAAGGACATGACATTGATCTGGCAGGTTGCCACTGAAAGGCCCTTGAGCTTCAGAGGAAGAGGCAATGCTGTGGGGTGCCCCAAGTGGTTTGCCACCTCTCTTGTTCACAAGCACAGTTTGGACAGATGTCAGGCTAACAGGGTCACAATTATCATCCTCAGCAATTACAGTCCCCTCTTTCCTGAGCTACTGTAATAACAGCTTGTGCATTTAGTTTCCTCAGTAGGAAATAGCAACAAACAACCTCAAAAATCTAAATGTCGTCTCTGTGGGCTCAGTTTACACCAAGGGATAGGACAAGCACACCATGTCACAAGGCAGAAGCTGGGATATTACTTGTGGTTTTTTAACAAACAGCTCTAAAGGTTACTTTCATTTTATTTTGGAATTCAGATAGAAGATAAATTAAATCAGATTAATGAAATGTGATTTTTTTCCTAAAACTTCAGTTTAGACTGTACCATTAAATCCTTTAAACACCATTAGAGGGCACTTTTGTTACAATGCTGACAAATTCACATCAACTGAAAGGACTTTAATGTAGTTTCCTGCAGTCTGAAAACACAACTCCTAACTTCCTTGCTGCCACAGACCTTACAATTCATACTGAATGAAACAGGTAAAAAATTAATAAATGGAACTATTGTCTTTCTTCGAAAGGCAAGGCACCACTGATCAGATGCAATTTCATGCAGATTCTTAAAAATGACAGGACAGAGGTATTCGTGGGAAAGAGGAGAAGGGAGCCTAGGGAAATACAATGGATAAATCAGTACAAATTGCAGTGAGCAGAATCACAGCTTTAATTCTCTGATGTACTTCACTCTAAGCTGTTACCTGTGTTTTGGCACCCGTGCTGTATAAAAGCGCTGTCCGTCCCATCGCTGCGGCACTTGGTATGCAAAAGAAAAATGAAGGAATCACGTTGCTGAGGCCATGAGCCAAAAATTCCTGCAAAGTCATTAAATAGAAGATGTTTTTTCCTATTGTGTTGTCATTTCAATGCCTCTTGCCAACAAAGGCAACAAAGGAGTTTCCTATGTAAATATTAGCAATGATAAAGGATGGACACATTTTTGAGGGAAAAAATCCCACAGGTACATTGACAAAAGGGTTTCCCAACAGAATAGATGTTCTCCCAACTCAGAACTAATTTGAATGACAGAGCTGTTGAACCAGATTCATCGAGAGCAGGAGGGACATTTTCTTTCCAGAATAAATGCTATTGCTAAGTTTTGAAAATTAAGTTCAACCAAAATATTTACATCTTGATCCACATCTGCTTTTTAACTGGTCAAAGCCCCAAGTACTGGTGTCTGGAAACTATCCAGATAATTTCTGGTGTATGGCTCACTTGAAAAGACAGCCACTGATTTCTCTTCCTTTAGAGCATGTTTTAATGAAAGTGAAGTGTGGTAGCCATACTTGATGCATGCTGTCCTTCATCATAGATGTATTTGGTGTTTGTTCACAGTCAAAATGCAGACATGTCTGAACAAAGGATTCATAGAAGAAGAAGTGGAGAAGCCACCTTGTATGTGCAGCTTAAGAAGAGCAGTGTTTTCTAAGGAATTTTCCACCATGGCCACCCAGCATCATAGACTTTAAGGAGCAAGTTGGTCTGCTGAGGAAAATGGTGCTATATCCAGACAGGAAAACACAGCTCATGAGTTTGTCTTCACAGCACCAAACAGCACCCTTTTAAAGCTCACCCAGCAGCCTCACACACCCACAAACCCCCCTGCCAAGCACTATGCCTGGCCCTGAAGCTCACCACCTCACTGCTCTCCTCTCATGGAGGTTTTGCTCTTTCACTCCATTATTTGATGCAGACATACACAGAGTTTTCAAGACTTCAGTAATAAACCTATGTAAACTACAAGACTTCCAAAGGTGCAGCAAGACACACAAGTTGCTGTGTTCCAGGGAATGCCTTGAAGCAAAGCACCATGTCACTCTGGAGTCTGACCTGCACTAAGCATTCTCCCTCTGCTCCATAGAAACATGGCACTGCAGCATCAATGGAAATTCATGGCCCGATATATTCAAACTGAGAAATATTTTAGAGACTTGAACAGGCAAGAATGTTCCCACTGTGTTTTCCAATGGCATACGAGTTGTGAAGCACAGGACTTGATGTAGCAAGACCAGCCTGTCTAGATGGGGTGTTCAAATAGATGTCCAGCTGCAAAACAGCTGTTTTTCATTCAACCCTATGTCATAAATCCCAAACCATAAAGGTGGAGGCAACATTTTCATCACACAATACTAGTGCCAGTTATCTGAAATTTAGCCTTTCTTCCCACACTGCTTGAATTAGCATCTCCATGGATTTCCAGCGGGCTTGGAGTTACCCACCCACCATGGCAAGCACTGTAGTAGTGTAGAGACAACCCACTTTTATTTAAGCATGTCCTCTGCAAAATGGAACTCGTGACAAAAAGCTCCTTTGGCTGTAAATCTGGCAGCACTGTCTGAACTCACCCAGCTTCTTAGATAAAAATAAACCTTTATTTTAGGTGACATTTCTATTTTGCATAAATATAAATAATTTCTTATTATAACATCAGGTAAGTCCTGGGGCTATAAGTACCTGGTTTTGGTTTAGAATTGCTTTTCACTCACAGTAGCTGATTTAACATCATAGCTTGTCTATAAGAGCTCAACTGCCAGAGGAGAAGGTGTCTCGTCTTAGAGCAGTGAAAAATGCATTGATACCCAAATGCCAAATGGAATGTAGCATTACAAGATTATCCTGAAGGATGAGTTTCCCCAAAAAAGAGTAGTTCAACCAATAAGGGCATTCTGCACAGATAATTTAAACAGAATTTGGGTGCTACTGTAAACACTAGAAGGTGTCAGGATGCTATATGGAACATAACTTTTCCTACTGGGTATTCATCTATAATATTCTCCCCAGATGGTGAAGTGATTTCAAGACTCAGTGACACTAAGGAGAAAGAGCTTTACCTGGTTGTCATCCACAGTGTATTTAAACTTTTTAGCAGAGGCTTGAGCAAGAGCTAGTGAGGCTACATAACCAACCAGTGCCACTCCAAAAGCTTCAGTGACTACTTCAGGCAGGACACTCATGGGTGGTGCTTTTGGTGATGGCAACCTATAAAAATAAAGACAGTAATTTTTGCAAAACTTGACACATAGTCTCTATATACCTGCAATTTATGTGACTACCACAGAAACAATCTCTGCAGGAACAGCTAATTTTTGTAATATTAGATTAATATTTTAGAAATCAATCTGTTGGAAACAGCAAAAGAGAATTTGTAGATGACGAAACAGCTTTAGATGGAGTATTCAATTTGAAAACTTCAATTTGATAAATTATAAAGAGATGTTGATAAATTAACTCCACGACTGACAAATAAAATTTGTCACTAATTCACTAATTTTGTAATGTTCAGTAGAAAAGACTACTGTACGTTTTCTCCTTTTTTAATATAGTTGGCTTTCCTGTAAAATTAAATTTAAATATTTAGAACATTTTATATTCCTGTCATTTACTGACAATACAGACATTTATTCCATCTAATGGGGATGATGACTCATAACTCAAGTTAGGAATCAACCCATCCCAGATTGTCTCTGAACTCTTCAAAAAGACTTTGGTCTTTCCAGAGCATAAATCACACCGTCTGAAAACTAAATTGTGCTCTTAATGTTTCTGATGATTACACTGACAAGGCAGTTAGGTATTTCAGGTAAATGCCTAAAAATATGCAGGAATTATCCAGGTTTTGCTTCTGTTTCTCAACACTACGTGTATGAGGTAACACAAAAGATAAATTCCTGATTAAATTTGTACAAATACAGTTTACTTGTTCATTAGAAGGGGCACATTTAGCTGTGTTTTAGTCCCAGATTTGTAGCCTGGTCTAAATAGTTAAAAAACATATTTTAGTTAAAAACCATAATCTTTCAAAGAGATGTCCCTTCTTTTATCTCTTTCAGTGCAAGCTGCCACACATGCATGCATGCTGTCTTGGATTCGTGCTTTGTGAAATTTAGGGAAACCCTGCTATATGCAAGCAGATTACACAACAGCTGTGCTCTTCCATACCAACGTGTAGAGTTTGAAGACTTTCTCTGACATTTAATCTAATTTCTCTTTCTAGCAAATTATATTGAATTTTTTGGCCTTCTTTTCAAGGTCATGGAGGAAAATGTATCATTAACTATAGTAAAAATGTTCTCTTTTAGATTAAGGATAATTAAATCACATTTTGTCAGAAACCACATTTTCTAAAATTACTTTATGGGTGGAGAAGAATGAAGTGTAGTAATCTACACATCTTATCTCATTGTAAATCCTTTCAGCTACAATAACCCAAGCCAACCCTCAAAAAGCAGGTTTCAATAATCTCGTAGAGCATTCTGCCCTCCTGTCATACATCATCAAGTACTTAGTACCTACTTTTTATTCCACAAAGCAACAAAAAGCTATGAAAATATTGAAGGATGCATTTTTGTGATGATATCTATGTATATATAACTTACTAACGTGAGACTGAATTATGAGAGAGTGTCTGAGGAGACAGGAAAAAAACAAAATAGATTTTTACCATTTATTATTTAAGAAACTACTTTGATCTTTTCAGAGACTATTCTCAGAAATAGAAGTATTTAAAGGCCACAAGCTAATAAACCCACATTACCCTTTAGGAATATTTCCCACAACTTCTATCCTGTAGACGTATTCCATATCAGCATAGTAGCAAGCAAGGGATGTAGCAATTATCTATCGGTTCAAACAGAAAAAGATGTTATATTTCTGTTGCTTCTGACATGGTCCCTATTATTGCCATACCTGAGCACATGGCACTGTTCATACATTTATCCTTAGATCAATCCAGTAAAACAGGAAAACATTACCATGTTGGTTTTTTTTTTTTTTTGGTGGTTTTTTTTGTTTGTGTTTTTTTTTTTGTTTTTTTGTTGTTTTTTTTTTGCAAATATGTAAGAGAGTTAAAAGAAACTAAGATTTGGACACAATAATGATGTGAGACTGTAGTGCAGTTTGTACATTTTGTGTTAATGAAAGAGATTTGTAGGGCTCTCTGTAAAGCCCCAAGAACCTTGGCAATCAATGCTGAGAGTCCCTCTGTTCAGCATGTGCCTCAGAGCACTGCCATCCACCTAAGCAGTTTAAAGTAGTTCATGATTTAGGTGTTCCTGAGTAATCTGACTCATCAGATGATCTTTGAGCATATCTAATCCAGACTAGCAGTGTTGACTTCAGCACAGACTACAGCAGAAGATGTGTCTGCCTCTTTCTTTTATGTTCTAGCAGGTACAAATCTTGCAGAGGGAGTATAAAGGTTGACTCTCAGGAGGTTCAGACTCATTTCCTGTATTTCAAATGAGATGAACTCACAAATCCCAATAGAACAGGGGTCCAGGCTGCAATCCTGGTACATTTTATCCAATATTTTTTAAACAGGTAACACTGAGACCAGGATTACACTACCTCCTTTTCCAGATTTTTGCCCCTGTAAATATTTTCTTTTCCAGCAACAGAAGAGTAATTGTGGTAATGCATTCTGAAAACCAACTGTCCTTCATACTTTGTATTTTCTATCAGCGGTTTACAGAAAAACAGAAACTTTCTAATGGTGATCTGGTGCTGATCATTTGACTACAGCTTAATCCTTAAAGCAGGGGGTATAATGCAATTGCTAATTTTAATTTAGTCTATACCATGTTAAAAGAAAACATGTTAGTAAAATGACAGAATGCAATAGCATAGCTATTTAATTTTGTTGTAGGTAAATCACAAGCAACATCTAAGTCACAACTACCCAGCACAAGACTTGCTTGGAGTTACAGTATGCCAGTTACTTTTTATTTTATATTTGAAACTTCTTACACTTCAACATTCTAGGCTTTATGTTCTTGTGATTATGTAAAAAGTAGTAAACATATGAAAAATATTATACAAATTGGGATCTTAATTATTAAGCCAAATTATTTCCTGTTTTTACAATCAACTTACAGCCATGAAAATCAGCTGTCTATTTAATAAGAGGCAGGTGTGGGTAACTATAGACAGCACAGTAAACTTCAGCAGATTGAGCCATTGAAAGTTTTCTAAGAAAAAGCCTGATATATAATTTTGTACTTACCAAAAGTAGATCGATGGGAACGACAACTTTAATCTTTCTGTGAAATTTTTCATTCAGCTCCTTAACAAGAACCAGTACCACAATGCTCAGCAAGGAGAGAAGTAATGCCTCCAACTGAACTGATCTGATATTCTCAAACACATAGGCATAAATCTACAGTGAATAGCAAATAACAATCACAGATCAAAAAATATATTCTGGATCACATGCCATGGCATCTTCTCATGACTTAGGACAAATAATGAGTGACAGCTGAATCAATACTGCAGGAGCTGAGTCACTGGACAAGTTTTTGGCCTGTATTTTAGATTTTACAGAGATTTAGAAAAAAAAAATTAATATTTGTATATATTAATTTACAAATTTCTATTGGTAGAAGCAAGCTATAAAATTCCAATAAATGTGATATGTTTCCTTTTCTTTTTCAGTCTCATTAAGTTCAGTGAGATAAATGAGTTCGCATAAAAATGCTGAGAAAATTATCTTGCACAAAGGTTTATTTGTAGTGCCCATAGTATATAACATGCACCAATGCTAGTAAATAAAAGACAGAAAATAAGAGAAAAGAAAAGGAGAGGAAAAAAGAAAAGGGAAAGAAAAATGCAGTAGTGGCTGGATGGGAAGAGATCCAACAGGAATCTTCAATACGGGCATCCTCTGCGATTTGTGGGTCATTTTTCCAGAGTAATGTTTTCCCAGAGTAATTTCAGCAGGCCATCCTCAGTCTCCCCATTTGTTGCTCTTGCCCCTTACACAGTGCTCCATGAAGCGTGCTTTGGTCAGATCTAGGTGCTGCACACACTAAATAATTGCCAAGCTTGCATACATATGCTACTGGTTGTTTAAATAACTGAAGTTATCTGCTTAGCCCTGTTTGCTCCTTTTCTGCTGACTGCAGAGTTAAGGGGGAAAGAGGACACCAGGCAAGAGCTATGGAACTGTGAGCAGGCGTACTTCAGCTTTTTACCAGTTAATATGTGCTGCAATAAGCTGTAAAACAGGTTGGAAAAATGTAGTTGGATCTGTAATGAACAAAGGAAATATGGTGCTGAATTATAAGGAACATGCAGAATAGAAATACGGAACAGGAATAGAATGACCAACAGTGATGAGAAACAGAGGTCTTCGATGATGAATACAATGTTGTAAGTAACAGACTTCGGAGAACGCAGTTGCCTTTGCAGCAGCACAGATGACACAGTGAACTGTAATTTTTGCTCTATGCTGAATTTGAGGGTTCAGGAAATAAGGCATAAATCAGTATGGGAGTACATCAACAGAGTAATGAAAAAAATTACAAGTTTGCTGAAATAGATGGGATGAAGAAAATTAGAGAGACCATCTATCCTGATAAATAAAGAAATCATGAGATCTCATCACAACTTATTTTTGGGCCTCATGAAGAAAAGCAATATTGCCTGAAAGAACAGCAAGCCATAAAAATGGATACATTACACACGCTTACTAAAGCTATAAGGGAAAAAAAACTGGATAGGCTCAGACCTTTGAGTTCTGCATTTAAATTCTGGGAACTACTGTGCATACTGAAATATAAACCATAGAGAGAACCAAGTTAAGATTAGGATGTAGATTTAGACATGATCACAAATAACTTTTTTTTAAACCCTAACATACAGGATAATAAAATCAAGCAAGTGAAGCTTAATATAATAATAGTAATATTAAAAAGCAGGAGTTTTCTCAGGCAGTGACTAAGAAGACCAAAAGTCTTCTTAAATCAAAAGTCACACTTGTAGTGTTATCAAAATAAAGATGAATAATTTTCTGCTCCAGAGAATGTATTCTCAAATACATGTATAATGCTAACAAGTTCTGACAGTTTGTAGGTTAAATTCATAAATTTATATTGGACAGAGAAAAGTACTAGAAAAATTATCTTAGGAAAGAACCCTATTTTAGCAGAAAGGTAGTCAATATGATGATAGAAATTATTTCTACTGTTCTGATTCTGTCACTCATTAAAGAAGTGATGCTCATATTGAAGCATGAGTAAATTCAAATCACGTCCTGATTTTTTCTCTCTGAGGATATTTTCATAATCTAGAAAGGGAAAAAAACCAACCTAAATATGGTTTCAGAAAATTAACTTTCCTCATAAAGATCCAATGTAGCCCTTGGAGTTTTAAGGATGCACAATATAACCCAGCACAAACATTTCTCGGAAACCAGGAAAATATTTTAAAGTCAACTTGTTAAGTAATATGATCTAGATATGTCTTAAATCTGAAGAATGGCAATTAAACCACAGTTTTTAGCCACATATTGCCCCTCTGTAATCAGAAAATATGTGTATTGTATTTTTAGTGGCTTGGGACTAGATCTGTATCCATAATTTTCCAAGAATGCATTTTCAAGAGGGCACAGGACTTAGCTGAGTGCCCAAACAGAAGCTGTGATTAATTAAGACAAAAGGAGGCAAACTGGAAAATCGTGCCCAAAAAGTCACCAAAGACTGAGCTACATCTAAGGTAAAGAGGCAAGAAAAATAAAGAAATGGGTGGATTCCTACTTGCTGAAGTCAGAGAGATGGGATTTGTTTTGAAATGAATGCTGGCTATTAAAGTGCCAGCATTAGCTATCTGTGTTCATGGCATCAAATCTAATCTTCCTAGACAAAGTGCGACAAAAGACTGAGTGAATAAACAAAATTTTAGTGAAGAAATACACACAAGCTTCAAGAATTTTTGTCTTTCAAACTGAGTAAAAAAGAGTAAAAATATATGGCCAAATCTTGTAAACCTTTGCCATAGGTTTTTTCAGATTTTGCAACAAAATCTTTGCATGACCTGCCTAGTACATCCTTTGGTGTTTCTTTGAAGTCTTATTCTTCTGTATGCAGCCTACAACAGCCAATAAATAAAAAATGATGGAACTGCCAATGCTTTGTAGTTCATTTGAATTCAGTAGCCCAAACAGCCCTATCCCCAAAGTGTCTGTAGTACACCAAAACAATTCTGGCAGTAATGCATTAATATTAAATTAATTACTGCATCAGACTAAGGAGCTTCCACTGACTAGTTGGTTCCTGAGTAACCATTTTTTGAAAACCTAAAATCACTCAATTCATGGCATGATCAGTGAAACGAGGAGACCCTTTCATAAGAAAGAAAGAGCATGTGGCTCTCACCAGGAATGTAATTAACATGCACAACAGACATCTCTTTAAACTGTACATTTTATATTGTATTCTGTCTAGTCAGTTAATGTACTCATCCAAGATCAAACTATAAATCCTAAATCTAAGTTCATAAAGTTAAGCAAGCTTGCAATACAATTGGCATCTGATTCAAAAGATTTACAAATATTTTGATCAAAAATGTAGTTATAAGTTCAGCATGTTCAAGCTTTGCACATATATAAACAGACACTGAATGTTCCTTTTCTCATGGGAAACCATCAATTTTGAGGTGATATTGAACATTGTAATGTTCACTATCACCCTAGAAAGGGTGTGTATTTGGATGTATTAATGAATGCGCTGAGTTGTTTTTTTTTAATGTCTACATGAAACCCCAAAATATTAGCTCTAAAATATGCATAGAGGCTGAAGCGAAAAAAGGAATTAAAGGAACATGTTATTTAACAAAATACATTTTAAGAGTGGACAAATTAATTTAGTTTTCAAAAAAATTCATTCTGATATTTTTTAGATATGTCACACTGGAGAATGTACAGGGAAATACTATAGAGTTAGCTGGGAAAAAAAGGGTGTTAGCAAAATGTGAAGGTCTGAGGGTTTTTTTTCAAGAATAGCAGCAAGACCACACAAGGATTTTGCAACACAGCCACAAAAGACCCAGTTTTGCAAAGCACATTTCTTACAGTGCAGTTCATTTTGCAGTGTTGTATTTTGTCGGAAACATGTGGAAAGAGAAATATATCTATACACAAATAAGGGGGAAATACAAATATGTGCTTCCATTTTCAGGTGCTGAGTAAAACTTGATGACACTTTTCCCTTGTAAAGTTAGATCTCACATGCATTATTACCTCACTGTTTTTCTTCTTCACCTTCACTTTTCCTTTTCCATTTGCAAAACACAAGCTGATGCTGCACTGTGCAGCTCAATTGAAATGTGACAAACCAGGTGCAGGGAAAACAAAATTTGTTAAGTTACTTAACCTATGTGTAAACACAGAAGTACCACAGGCTCAAGGCCAGTGTACTAGATTTGTTCTCCATATGCAAAGTTCCTTTCTACGTATTTAACCATGATCTCACATGCTATAAAGAATTCATTTCACTGGCTTGCTATGCTTGCAACTCTCCTATCACACTTTATTAAACATTCTTATTCTTGCTTTGCCAGCCCAAAGGCTGCCTGAGGCAAAGCAATTGGTTTTGTGAGTGGGAGGTGTTTTGGAGTGGACAAAGAGAAAAAATGTAGCAAAAGTACCAGTCTTTGGATTTTGAGAATTTGAAGTGAAGAATGTGTCCAGAGAGACATGCCAAAGTTGCCTTTCACTCTCTAGATACATGTGCAAATTACCTTATATCTAATTAATATAATTTTCACATGAAACTACAGCCACAGAAGAAAATTAATGTTAAAGTCTAGCTCTGGTGCTTTTGACTGAGATACTGTACCTTCTCTGAAGGCAATTCATAAGTCTGAACAGAAACCAGAAATATTTTAAAACATTTATATAGTAAAATTGCCCTTTTTAATCATTCTTTCAAGTTATACAGAGTAGACACACAATTTACAGAGCAATTCAGAACCTTAAAAAAATCAGGAAAGTTTTTTTTTGGCTTATGTTCAAAGGAGTTTGATCTCAGAAGAGAAAAGCAAAGAACTTGTTTCAAATACATTAAAAATACAAGGGATAAGGGAATAGCTTTCTTTCAAAGCATTTGAATGACCTCATTTATGATATCATCAGCACACCAAGGTGGAAATATTTCTTCATATCACCGCTGTTCTTTATTGTTGCTCATAATGTGTATTTTGATTATGCCTTGGCTGCAGTACTTAACACCAGTCATCTCTACAAGATGACAATATTCCTATATGTAAGTATAGTCTCCATGGAAACACCACGAAAAAGGGGCTGTTCACATTTTATATTAACAATCATTTATGAAAAGGTTTTTAAGTAATGAAAAAACAAAAGAACCATTTTTATAGTCTAATAAGCCAAAAAAAACTATGACACTTTTACGTATATCTCTACAAGATAAATGGATAAATTACTTGTTATTTTTTACATGCTCCTAATTTTCATTAATAAATTGGTCCTGTAAAAAACTTAACAAATGTATTATCCATATGAAAAGCTATCAAATTTGTAAAATACTATGGGAAAAACATTCTAAAAAGCAACATCTTCTAATCAAGATTTCACATTAACAAATTTTCCAAATAATAGGAAAAAAATAAAGCATGTAGTAGGGCACAAAGACATAATCATTGATTTTAAATGAGATGTCCTAATTTATTGGCTGATTAGATGAAGTCTCACTATCAGTGCAATGTAGATATCACTTCAGCAAATAAATACAGTTTTATTATGAGCAAATATCATTTTGACAGGCACTGTTGTAACACTAATAATGTCAAGAGATTATTCTCACAGCGCCGAAACTCAGGGCTTGCTGGAATAAGTTACCACCAAGAATATATTTGTGACTTTTGTGTAATAAGATTATACAGCTTTTCTCTTTAAGGTTTCAGTCAAAAATCTGTACTTCCCAAGGGCTGTAACCATGTCACTGGTGGTGGTGCATCACCTCATGGCCTTGACCAAACCAGCCAGGTGGGGACATGTCCCTGGCCAGACCAGGCGTTTTCACGGGATACAGGTGGGAAAACACTGTAACAGCAACATCTGCTGTGGGGCTGAGGTGGGGAACAAAGGGTGATCAGTCATCCACTGACAGCCTTGGAACATTCCCTACCTGAGCTGGAGCTCAAGTAGAACAGCACCATTGTTGCCGAAGTTTTAGAAACAATTTCCAAATGTTTTGGAAACTCCTGTAGTTGCCAGCACGGGTTATGGCCAGGATGGAAACAAACTGATGACTAAAGCAAATCAGCTGGTGACCCTGCACATGCCAGTCCTAAGTGAGGTCTTCTGGGCTCTTCAGGGCCACAGTGGGCTGTGCCAGCACCTCCCTCTCTGTGGGGCACCTCTCAGAGCTCAAGAGCCCTCAAGTCTGCAATACTTAAAAGACCATCACGGTGAGCCCTGGGCTGATACACACACATGCACACAGACTCCTTGAGGTGCAGCCTTGCCTGGTGAGAAACACTCAGGAATTTGCCATGAATATTTCCCTGAAGCCAGGGGGAATTTTTGATAAGCACCTTTACACTCACAGACAGACATGCACTTATCTCTGACTGTGAGCATGTGAACTTATTATGGTGTGAATGTTATTATCATGAAACTGTAATTAAGTCACAGTTATATTTATTAAAAATCCTATTGAATCACTTCATAAATGTTAAATTACTCAATGATGAATTTCTGGTAAACCCTTTTGCACATCTTATTTTTTTGTGTTCATACCCTTTGCGCCCTTACCCTTATTCATCTTCAGTCTCCATGTAATTAATTCTAAATTTATACTAATATAATTTTCCTATGAATGCTTCATCCTTGGAGTAACTGAGTGAACCTTGCTGCTGAACTCTGTTAAAGTCATACTTTCATAAGTTTGTATTAAGCTCATACCTGCTTTTTACCAATATCACTGATGGTGATTCTTTAAGGAACCTAACCAATTATTTGCAACAATACTGCATGGAATGCAGCATGCATTTTATAAAAACGACCTTAAAGTTGTCTGCTTGCTGTGTTTATGGCAAAGTAGCAACATGTCATAAAATAATAAATAGCATACCTAGAGTAATTTTTGCATAGGAGATACACAAATAATGGGTCATTTTCCTTTTGCCACAATGATGGTCAGATTTCAGCAGCATTTGAAGAAAATATGTTTAAATTTATATTCCTTCCACATTCTGACCCAGAGGGAGATTACCCTCTCTGTATGAGTGTATAATGGCTCAGGATAATAAAAGGGATTATTGACACCCTAAGAAACATATTTAAAATTAATTACTGTACCCATCCCTGCTAGTTCTCTATCAGGTTTTCCAATTCTCTTCTTACAAACAGTTAAAAATAAGATGAAGGCTCATCTTCTGTTCATTCACACATATGCATAACAAATTCCATACTCTTACACAGAGACAAATAGCGCATATAATAGAATTTTATCTAATGAAATTTTAATGAAATATCTCTTTCACTGAACTCACATGAAAAAATGCCAGTGGTCCTGATATATATGGCATTTTCATTCCCAGCAGATACTTCACTTGTGAAGTCACGACATGTGTAGCTGCTCCAGTTGTCATGGCACTTATGACGGGTTCTGTTAACAAGAAAGTGGCACTGCCCAACTGCAGCACAAACATCGCTACCTAAAAGGCAAAAGCAGGAGGATCAGCAGCTTCTTGGTGATAGGACATTGAGTCAGAGTCCTTTTAATAAGTTATAAGATAAACGAGCTAAAGATACACAGCAAAAAAATTTGGCAGACAAATCTATCTGAAAATGGAAGGCACTGCAGTTCTGTGGATTTACCTACAGTATACTCACTAGTTTACCAGACTCTAACACTGGTTTAGTAACAAAAGCAGACACAAAGAAACTCTACTCACACCTGCTGAAATATGTGAACACAATAAATACCATAAAAACATCGACTCAACACTGCAACAAGTACAGCAGCTCAAAGAGTGAGGCTGATTCTAAGACTTATTCCTGCTCCACTGCTATGTAGCCTAAATGGGCCAAGAGCGACATCTTGGTCCAGCTTACTGATTGCCATAATGTCACTACCAGGATTCCCAACATTAGTAATTTCAACAGATACCAAATTTAAGAGGTGCTATAAAGACTCTTGTGTTGAGACCTCTAATTCAGAAATTTAAGCTGCAGCAGGATCGACAACTATTGTAGGTATTGTTATGTTCAACAGTTTTCTCCCCTTATCCTGGGCTTCGAACATCCTTTCCCTCCAAAGTATGAGATTTGACAACTTTTAATTCTTTGAACAAAGTTGTTGTTTGACCACAGCTGCTACTGTGGTTTACACATCACTTTTCTGATCCTCATTAAGTTACATTGACATTATCTCTCCTCACAATGAGTTTTGCAGTTTCTTACTTCTATGGTCTTTTGCATTTGCTGTTCTTCTCCCTGAAAATTAACAAGCTCTTGGCACAGAGCTGTTTATTACAATACTTTCTAAGCAGTTTATTTTGTGTTTACCATATTATATGTCATCATTTTGGAATATATCACAGTCTCCCTTGCTTTTTTGCTTTTTTTGTTTGTTTGTTTGGTTGGTTGGTTGGTTGGTTTGGTTTTGTTTGGGGTTTTTTTTTTTTTTTTTTGGTTTGTTTTTTTTTTTTTTCCTGAAGCTAAATCTATTCTTTTCAGATGTTATAATTCTTTATACCTGAACACCATTCATGTTCTCACCATAAAACTCAACCTGTATGCAATGAGCTTTGGGCATAGTACCACAAAACAAACAAAAATATCAAAATAAGTGTCTTTTAATTTACCACAAAACCTCTAGTAAGCAATATCCTCTTCCATTTGGGAGATTAAATATAAGATTTTTCCTCTATTTCCCATTAATAGCATGTAAATTACTCTTTACTCTTTACTATGAGCAATTGGAACATTGATTGCCATTCAAGATTGCACTCCAATAATGATAATTACTGTATACCCTCGGTGAGTAGCAATTTTGTTAGTCAGGCTTAAAACTGATAATTACTAATTTCAGATATTTTGTTTAGCTGTTTGTTCTAACAGTGTGTCTGCTAATATATTTAAAACATTGTTCACAGTAGCAAAGTTCAATAAGAATTAAATTCTCCCTTCCCTTGTGAATTTTTTTTTGTTTTCTGAAATTGGTTTCTATTGTCTGAATGTGACATTTCTAACTGTGTAACAGCTTAGTTTCCAGGAAATTGGATGTTTATTTAGGCATCAAATCAAAACCACAGAGACAATTCTGTGTACTACATAATATCACAGAGACGTATTTGTTACTATTAGCATTTCAGAGAAAGTTATTATGTGAGTTACGGAAAATGATTGCTAAGCTAAGAAATTTCAGCATCACTTTCAGATCTAATTTTTGGTTTTTTACTTTTTTTCTTTTAATCTTCAGCATTTTAAGAGGATGCTTCACGGTACTAATTAAAGAACACATTTCAAACACAGTTTTTTATTGATTGCACGTAACCGTAAGCAATGTAAAATTCATGCAAACCATGTGTATGGTTCCGGTTAGACAATTTCTGCAGCCACTCAATTAAACAAGCAGCAGCCAACATTTGGTCCCCTCTCCTTACTGCAGAAGGTAGCTCAGGACTCCCAGAAACAAAGGCAGTAATTCATGAGCATGAACATCCTACTCTTTATTTACATGATAGTTAAATAAATACGATGTGCACCCATACATCTTCCATGGAGAAGATCTAAAAATGAAGCAACCAGAACAGGAAAGATTGTGGGTGGAGGGTGTAATTCTCAGCATATACTGGTATGGGAACCTCATGTTGTCTTTGCAACGTGAGTAATGTACAAAAACTCCATGGATCACAAGAAGGAAAAAAGTCTTGAAACAAGCCTCCCAAATCTATTTGCATGTGAGTTTTCTTGACAGATAAAATTATTAGCATTTACTCAGGCCCAGACTGACTCTAAAATTAACCCTCCATGCTGGGAAACAGCCAGCTTGGCTGCCATTGCATTTTGAATAAACACCATTTGAAACTTAGCTAAGCTGACAGCACTCAATTGCATTACATTGCATTATGTCATAAAGTCTTTCACCCAGTAACACTGACCAAACTGTAGAAAGTTCAGTATTCTTAAAGTAGTGTCTAAAAATCTGCTTTATCTTGGCTATTGGTTGTGATACTCATTTTTGCATCTACTTTATTTTCTGGTAAATTTTATGATTTCTTTTCATTCCTGATGCAGACAAACTACAGAGAAAAGTGACAGTAAAGTGCTAGAACAGCAAAAAAAGAATAAAAACAAATATTTTTGTCTTTTTATTATTTTTCATCATACTGAGATTTTTTTAAACTGTAAAAGAAACTAAATTTTTACATATTTTAGAATTGTACCCAGAATTTTTAATTTTTAAGAACTTAGTTCCTAAAGGATAAAAGCATACTTCAGGGAAAGAATAGGCACAGTATAAAAATTGTTTGAAAGGCACTTGGCTTTTGTTTATTTGTGTGGCATTTTCAGTACATAATACCATGTAAGAAGGTTCATTAAGAAGTAACTTTCTTGAGATAAATTTTGCTTTCGCCAGGTATATCTTGAATAAATTCATGTAAATGGAATCAAGACCTTTCAGATAAAAGAAAAAGCAATACATGAGAAAGTAAGGGAAATCAGCCTTGAATTAATGCACAGTAAAGGAGAAAAGATATCAGAAATGAGGTATACAATGAAGTGATTAGACAGAAGTGGTGGAAGGCGTGATTTCAAAAAAAAAAAAAAATTGATAAAAAAGTAAATTTCCAAATGGAAGAAAGACAATACAAAGGGAATCTTTTTTTTCAGCTGTCTTTACTACTCCATAATTTTACTCTGACAAATAGAAGAGAATGGGAATTTAGCCAGGAGAAGAAAAAAATGCAATTGCAAAAAGCAAAGCCCTCTATGTTCATTAGTCAGAACCTTTGGTTCTTGTCCACTTACAATACTTTCTTCCCATGACAACAAGCTCAGTCTATTATTATTATTATTAAAATTCCATTCAACATGTAGTCAATTTAACTTCACGGCCAGTAAAAATTTTTATCACTTAACAGCTCTTTGGAAATCACTAATGTCAAACTTTCTGTCCCCAGAAACTGAAAGACTGATACCGTGTTAGCTGCTGCACAGATTCAGCTTTGGAGAATGAATTTTAAATCCCTCAAAACTCCACTGTACTGGAAGGGGTTTTCCACTGTTATATCAGACAAAGTGGTGGGGCCCTTTCTGATCATTTGCTGCATGGGCTAGGTAGATGAGACCAGACACAGGAACATCTCTTGGGAACCAGCACAGACTGTGAGACTGTCATTTAGTGCATTATATTGGTTATCGCAGGTAGCAAAAGTGAAGAAATCTATGGACTCTCTAGAGAGAACAGTCAGACACAGTTCAGCTCAGCTGGGTTGCCAATTTAAAACTCTCCATTGTCTGTTTCAATAGACATCTAACTGGTAGACCACTAGCTTTTGATTTTCTGAGCTGCAGCTCCTGTGTTCATTCTGGATGTCTTGAGAGTGTCTGGTAGCTTCTGATGGTGTGCAGAGTGAACTTTCCTCATTCCAGGACCTGAAAAAGTTTTTTCTATGGTCTTTCTGTACTGACACATAGTATGCTTTACCGTAATTGTGGGAACCAGAACTCCCACCCAGCCTACTTGTAGTTTTCAAAATACAGAATATGAGCCTGTAATAAGGTATTTCCACTGTAAAAGAAAAATGAACTTTTCCCCTGATTATCACTGTATAGTAGACTCATGTTTTCACCTCATGCAGAGCTATGCATAACAGAAATACTACAACATTGTTTTTCCCACAGGTTAATAGAGATTGGGACAAGAATATTGCCTTACAAAAACACCCTTCTTATTCAAATGCGTTCCTTCATTATTAAGCAAATTGATAATGGAATGTGTAAATTTGTTCTCTTCAAAACCAAAAACATTTTTATATCCAACACTGTATATCAGCAACTAATTACATGTTAGTTTTTAAAATACAGTAGATGAAAAACTTACTAATAAAAATTTTACAAGTCTGGAATGCAATAAGCAGCTATTTCTCCTCTACAGAAGAATAGCCCAACTGAAGACTACAACACAGTGGTCTACAGAGAATTATGGGGGTTTTTTTTCCTCATCTTGATCTGCAAAAAGCTTTCCTCTATTTATTCAGCAAATCTTAATGTTGAATTTCAGTTTAGTATGCTGAGATGATTTTAGAGACACATATATTTATGGAAGCATTCATGGAAGCATTTCTAGGGGAAGAAAAATCTTACCCAAAAGCTCTTTTGATGATTTTTTTAATGTTACAAAGGCAGCATCCTATTTTAATTACAAAATGTGCTGAGGGGAAATGACTCAATAGATTTCTGCTATGTTCTATCATTTTCTTTCCCCATCAATACCTCTGAGGTATTTGATATCAGGGAAGAGTTCCATTAGTTTGATTTGTTTTCCATGCCCTGTTTATCTTTATAGTGTAGCAGCTACATAAACATAAAAAAATCTTCATTATGCCTTCCACTCTGCTTTTTAAAATGAAATAATGAATGCATTATATTAAATGGTTTTGGTAATTACAGTTTTTATTTTATGTTTACTTATTTTCTATTTTAATACTATTTTAATTTCATCAGAACACCTCTTAATATAACTAAATATCTTTTCTCTTTTATAAACACTTTCTCAAATATTGGATTTCAGAAGTAGTTTAGGACTTTGAAACTTATTTCTTTGAGACAAAATTAAGCAATTAAGCCCCAAATTTCAGTTGTGAAAATCTCTACCTATCCTTGTCTTATGATCAGAATACAATGCTAATATATTTCACGTCGAGATGGCACTGAAATTCACAGAGCCTGCTCAGAGTTTGCCTCACAACACAAATGCACAGTTGTGGTCTGCCATAAATACCAACTAGCCAACAGTAGTTCATCTCAAAAACATCTCCCCCCCTTCCCCCCACCTTCCCTCCATTAGTCCATATTTTGTATGTTTTCCCTTTTATTTTAATATTATTTGCTGATTGGAGTATTTAGCCAAGCTACCGGAAAAATAGCATCAAATTCCTTTTTAGGCTAAGGTGTTCAGCTCTTTACCTACTCTTTCCAAGAAGGAAACAGCTGTTTTGGCAAGAATTTTTCATCCTTCGTCTGGAGGGTGCCCAAGGTAGGGATTAATCACAGCATCTGTTGTTTTTGTGCAATTAGTGGCTGATTAGAGAACTGAATTTTGACTGTTTTTCAGAAAAATTAAAGTCTTATAGTAGATAACATAAGCCAGGTCTGCTCCCTTTCTAGAGCTGCACCATCACAGATACCAACTACACAGAAAATACAACTTCTTTTTGTATTTCAGGATGTCTTCAGTGAAAAGCTGTTGCCTCAAAATGTATCATACAATTCTTGTTGCAGAACATACATTAATTTTAGACTATTAGTTAGTTTCTAATCTAATCTGATAAATAGAAGAAGGTGACTGATTTAGCTCTACATTAAAGCAAGATGTGTCTTGCCACCTTATCTGGGGTTTGCAGCAACTGTTAGCTGGGAAACTGGAATCTTGATGAGAGACATAGATTCCCACACTTAGCACCTGGGAAGATGGCAAAGTTTAATCTCAGCCTTGATCAGGACTTTCACCTGCATATTGCAGTATTAGTAGCTTCAAGGCACTTCTTTAGGAAATAAGTGTTTTACTCTGGCCTCCAAACGTTAAACTCACATAAAGGACTAGTGGCAGCCTGGCAAGCACCAGATGTGTTAGTATGATTCTAATGCAAGTGACATTATTGACCTGGGAGAGGAGCCCATGCACGTGGCATGGTTCCCTGACAGACCTGCTCTGAAGATGCAGAGAGGATTTACCAGTTCTTCTCATTCCAGTCAAAGAGGACATAGGCTGAGATAAATCAGCTGATGCAGTGGAAGGCATATGAAAAAGCAGAACTTTTCAGGATGAAAGAGTCAGAGGTCTGGAGGACTCACATGCCTAATGGGATTCTGCAGCCACCAAGCAAAATAATTTCTGAACTGGATTTTGAAGTTACATCAAATGAATGCAGGTACCAACTTCCCACATGAGACATTTTAGCCTGAGAGAGAGATGTAGGAGATTTCCAAGCTGTGAGCACTGGACTCCTGCATGAAGAGCTCCATTCATGCTCTGCTGTTGCGAGCACCCTGCATGAGATGCAATGCTGGGCTGCACATGCTGATGCATTGGGACAGCATGTGCAGGCACTGCCAGGCACAATCTGCATCAGCTCTGCTTTCTGTGCTGTCTGCAGGCTGTCCGTCATACTCCTACCCCAAGTCATAATCCAATAACAGAATCCTTGTCATAAACCAATAGAAGAATCATAAAAATGCAGCAGAAATAACAATGCTTCTTGATATTTCCTACTGACTAACATAAGTACACGCCCCAGTTCCTGCCAAGCACGTAGGCTATTGAAGATCCCATTCTGGGTCCCTTTGTTCACCCTCTGCATGGGAGAGGGATCCAAAGCACCAAGTGGAGGAGTCTGAGTTTGTTTCAGGAGTCCAGCTACCTAGGAGGTGTTGCAATGTCACATGCTGGCACATTACTTCTATTTTAATATTTACAAGGAAAAGGGAAGCCTTCATTGAAGACCTAAGCAACTGGCAATGGATAAAGAAACTTCACCCTTTTGGCCAGAATAAGAAAAAGGAGGAAATTTAAAAGACCTCTGATCATTTGAATAAATTTTAGAGAATCATTTGAAGACATCTGTTTTACTATTTCACTTTAATGATGGGTGTGTGAACTCTAAAGAGAATTTAAAGTTTTCCCTAATGTTTTTAATTATTGGATATTGTATAGTATTGCTTTTCAAGCCAAGGGCAACAGAAAGCCTCAGGAATATGTCAGTGCTTACCAGGAGCTGATTCATATTTGTTTCTGAAGAAGGAAAGGGAACACCAACTGCAAGTGAGTATTATAGTAGAGCTGACTGAATGTGCTTTTGCTTCATATTGTAAAACACTGGAAGCATGTATACAGATAATTACTACATCTCAACAAAGGAACAGCAAATTCTTAAAGCACATTAATTTCATTTATGACAATTGAAGCAGATGTTTTTATTAGTTTTTCTCAGAGAAGTAAAAAAAGTATTACAAATATCATAGCTGTCACAAAGGCAGTACATCAGTAGTATACAGAAAATGTAATCACCACCAACCTGAATGATTCCTCCTAGAAATGAAACTGCTGCTGCAACTCCAATCCTCTGCATTTCAAATTCTGACAAACCCAAAATTCCTGAATTATTGTTTGCAGTGAAATTAGTTGTGACTGAAGGAACAAGGCGCTCAACTGCATTGGCAGATATTAAGGAAGTTAAAGCAAAAGTTCCTGTAAAAAAAGCCACACGTTAATTACCAATAATTGTATATCTGTACTCATCACTCATAGTCTCTTTTTCAAAATGGCCGTTTTATTAAAAGTGACATTTTTTACATTCCTGTCATCATAAGAAGAATTTTAAGGTATTTTTTCTATGTAACGTACTTTCTTCCCATAAAATACCATTCATACAGGCAAATTAAATGTAAATCCTTTTTTAGCACATTCGTTAAGACAGGTTTACAAAAGAGATTCAAATACAACAATTTGCAATGATTTCAAGTTATCATAAATGCTTTTAACTCATCCTGGATGTGATCAAGTATCTATCTGTCTGAGAATCCCAAGTGTTCACCATTCAAATTTCTAGGGCAATTCACACTATATATATAGTACCTAGTCCATTAAATAGTACCTAGCTCTCTCAATAAATGGAGGCAAATTATGAGAAAAACATTTATTTGCTGAGAGACGTAAAGTACATTTAATGACACAAAGATAAATGAGGATGACAATTCAACATTAAAAGACACAAACATGCAGAGCTATTAGAGCATAAGAACATCTTGCTATGTCAGACCAATGGCCCATCCTGCCCAGTACTCTGCCTCCAGCTGTGACAGTCAGAGGTGTTACCTGGGGAAAGCACACAAGCCTGGCCATTGTCTGTGGACATCCACAGCTGTTGTGTTAGAGAAGTACTTCCTTAGCTGGCTTTTTTTTTATTTTATTTTGTTTGTGGACTAGTATTCATGACTTTGTCAAAGGTTTGTTTGAACCTGTTTGTAATTTCTCCTTTCACAATGTCCTCTGAGAGCAGGTTGCAGAAGTTCAGCATCTGCTGTACTGTTTTCTTTTATCTACACCTTTAAAGTCTTTTAAAACAATTTCTCTCTGAACTCGCCTTTTTTCTACTGCTCCAGGACCTGGTGTACACAATCTGTCCCTCACCTTGGCCTTCGCAGAGTAAAGCTCACAGCATGAGCTTTACCCACCAGGGATACCACCACACTGAAAGTGACCATGAGGTCCAGCCTTTTGCTTCATATCTTTCAAACTGCTAATAATTAATAAAAGGACATTTATTCTATCACAAGGACAACTTAGTTTCTTTAGTAACCTTTGGTGTAGAACCTTATCAGTAGCTGTTTGACCATTCTGATATCTTTTATTCAAAGTATACCCCTTCTCCACGCACTTGTTGACATTCATACAGTAGTCTAGAAGGTAGTGAGGTAGGATTTTCCTTTACAGAAGTCAAATTGATTCCTCTCCAACAGGGTCTGATTATTCATAACTTTTTTTGTCCCATCCCTGGAAGTGTTCAAGGCCAGGCTGGATGGAGCTCTGAGAAACTTGACCTAGTGGAAGGTGTTCCTGATTATGGCAGAGGGGTTTGGATTAGAAGACCTTTAAGGTTCCTTCCAAACTTGGCCAAGATGTTTGCATAAAATTAAATTTGAAAACAGCTTACATAAAATTCTATCTTAAATCAAAGTGTTTGTGTTATTTATGGCAGATAAATCTGTCTCAGAGAATGGTTCGAAATCAATTATGTTAACAAAAGTCAAGAAAGGGTGTATGTGTTTGTCGCTCAGGTGAGAAATCTCTTTAAGTAGATCAGCTTTTTCAAAGAAGAGGCATTACAGGACAATAAAAGTTAACTGAACAGGGCCATTGGTGGCTTTTCCATTTCATACTAACATGACAGCCTTCACTAGGTCGTGCCTTCACCAACAAAGAACACCTTTACAGCCTATGTACATATGGAGAGCACCACAGATATTACAGAAAATTCTGGTAAGTGAAGAGGCTGTCTCCAGTGTCCATAAGGAATTATGGAGCAGCTGAGGCAGGCAGCATGGCTCCTATACACTCAGCTACACATCACGATGCCTTAACTGAGGCTGAGACAAGAAGTGCATGAGACCTTCCTTCTGAAAAGATCAACAATATATGTCACTCAAATTTATTTATTTTAAAAGATCGCATGTGTGCAAGAAAACTCTTCCGTTGCTTTTTTTCTTAATTGAGATTAAATTTTGAAATAGAATTATGAATGGAAAGAGTTTTCACACTAAGGACCATGTAGAAATCTGCAGAACTGTGGAACTCAGCAAGGCATTCTCTGAACACTATTCCCTCCCAACAATAAAACAGCAGACTTAACAGCATACTAACCTATTTTATCAATTGTTTTCATTACTAGAACTTATGGCAGCCAGATGCTTACTTATCTTTCTGACATATGATGGATTCTTGTCTTCCTAATAATCATACAACAACAAACTTCTGACAATACACTGCTAATTTTTTTTTGTTTTGCAACAGCTTTTTAATATAGGCTAAAGTTTTAATCTATCTTTTCTAGATTCTAAATTTCCATCTTTTCTTGCAATGCTTCCCTTTTAACATGAGTTGAATATAGTCATTACAACATTAGGACAATAACACATCTACAGATCCTTTTCAGACATCAAAAGACTCAAATATTCTCTGTACATCTAGGGAAAACAAACTTTCAGCTTTCCTTTTTCTCTAAGACAATTTACATCTGCTCAGATTTGTATTTTTGAATAATGTAACTGAATATTTTTGATCAAAAAGGGTGCTTCAAATGTGTTGCTAACTTCTTAGTAGAACATTGCATACACTAGTGCAATCAGACTCTGCAGAGTTCATTTTGAGTGTGATTACCCAGAACCATCTTTTGTCCTTTCAGGAGATTTTCTCCTCTTCAAGGAAGAGATGCATCCTCCCTGCTTAAATCTTCTGACAGCCACAGGGGCTGCTTCCCTTCACCCAGCCACGCTGTGTGTTGCCACTGGGCCTATCTCACCCTTCTTGCAAACTTCAGGGGCCATCAAGTTCCCACTTCTGAACAACAAAATATTTGTGGTTCAATCTAATGAGTATTATTTCCAGCTGCCCTCTATAATTTTATTTCTTTGGGCTCAGAAACAGAGTATTAGGACAGAGTATCAACCTATTAGGAGCACAAAGCCACTCAATTTTTCAGCTGCTGAAGGGTAAACAAGTAACTCATAACTACCAGCAGAGCAACCAAGCAGCATCTTTCCCTATCTACCCAACTACTCTACAACAGGATAAGTGTCTGTAGTGGGAGAATCTCTAGCTTTAATACAATAGCAAGTAATGGGCTCAGGAGGATGTTTTTGTTTTTCTTTTCCTGAGAAATGCAACATTTGTGTTTTAGACAGGTGGGAAGTAATGTATGTTTTCTATGGTTTACGAGGCAGTTGAACATTTTTAATTTCCATTTACGTACATCATGTTGGCAGAGCCCTTTGTTAAACTATTAGCCTGAAGCAGATTTCTAAAGCAGAGTTAAAATAAAAAAGCTCTTACTAAATTACATTTACAAAGGAAGTGTCAGTGCAATATTAAATTATAATGGCAGGAGTAACTCCAATATATTCTTAATGAGGCTTTTTAAAGTACTTAAACTGACAAAAAGTAGTTGTAAAGACAAGCACAAAACCATCTTATTTTTGTTTAATCATAAATAACTTTCCTTCCATCAGCCTTTAAACATGAATAAATTTCAACATCCAGTTCCTTATTTTTGAAAATGACTTTAGCATACAGACACTTACCTGTTGCAACGTGACGTCCCATTCCAAATATGGCATAAATAATGACAGGGAAAAAAGATCCATATAAACCAAAAACTGGATGGACTGAAGACAGAAAAGCAAAGGCCAGCCCTATAGAAAATTGAAGAGAATTACTTCACTATATGAAGATAAAACTGTTCTGTTTGTGTTGTTGTTTTTTATTTTTATGAGGAAATGTCTACAATTTTATTAAGAGCAGGAAAAACTCACCTTCCTTTATTAAAACCTAGAGTGCAAATGAGCTACTGTACAATATGAATCAGAAATAACTGTAGAAGGTTTTCCATTTCATCATCAAAATCTGCATATCCTACAATGTTTCCAACTTGTCTCCATTAGTGGTTCCAAGCCTCTTTTAATAGCCATGCCTCACAGGAGGAGGCAGCATTGTTTCACCCTCACAAACGTGGGTTTGAGACTGCCAGGTCTCCAGGCGGTGGGATGGTTATTTTTTACAAATATTTCAAAACCTGTAATTTTGGTTTGGATGGAGCCCCTTCAGTCTAATTTCTTAAATAAAAAATATATTCCAGAGTTCATCCTCTTTAGGTGCCTAGGGCTCATAAGCCTTTAGACATTAACATTTCTTTCATCATGTAAAGCTGTCAGTTCACAAACAGAAAGTATTTGACTTTCATGTTGAGATGAAGAATGAATAGAATTGGTTCAGGTTTAACTTTATAGACTCACTAATTACCTTCATTGCTTAGCATCCATCCTTTTCTCAGAAGTCTTGGACAAGAACTCATCTTTCAACAGAAACATTCCTGCAAAGCATCAGATTTGGTTGCTTTTCAATTTGAGATAATAAGATAGCAAGTCAGACTACATTGGCTTCTTGCAAGTCATCAGGAGGAGACTCCCCAGACTTGCTTCAGATCAGCAGGATCTGCGGCCATTTCACAGCTCTCACTTCTGGAAACTAAGAGCAGGAGAACTTGGCTTGCACAATTGCTCCATAAATTTTGGCGAATACCTCATCATGCAGTCTGGAAGAAAGGACTGGCCTGTGCAACACACAAGATGCCTTTCTGAAGTCCACCTTCGGGAGAATGACCACATGTGGTCTGTAACAGAGGAAATTCAGATCTGTGGAATGGAGTTGCCTTCTGTGTACATGTGAAACCCGCAAAGAAAACTAAACCTGTAGGATTCATTGTTCTCACCCAGCATCCCAAAGAATGCTCCATAAATTGTTCTTTACTTGAAATGTCAGTGTTATGGGGCTTTGATAATATGGAGAGTGCCAAAGAGTGTCTTTGCTTATGGGTTTTCAGAGGCAATTCTGAACATTTTTATTCAAAATCTTCTTACATTTTCATTTGAGTCTGTAACAAAGTGAACATGGTGAGGGGGAGGCAAGAAAATATAAAAAGGTCAGAAGTGTCAAGTTCTCAGTGAAGCAGTTCATCTGTTAGAAAAACTTCACAGTGAAGATTTTGCCAAGGTGAATCCTACATGGATCATTTTCATCATCATTGTGCTCAGCAAAGTAGCACTTTGAGTGCATCTACTGATAGTCACTTCTGCATTTTTCTCTTAGCACAGCATTATCACAAACCAGAAAGCTCTTTGAAATTGTAGTGCAGTGTCCATGTTCACGTGATCAATAGAGGTAAAAGAAGATTCTGATCCAAGAGCAACACAGAAGGGTGTGCCTGAAGAGAATAAAAACAGCACAGGAGAGAACTACATGACTCTACCCAGATAAAATTGAGCATGGAGGAGGGTGGGGAAATAGAGAAGAGGAGAAACAAGTTTTTAAAGTTTGTTTAACATTGGAAAGCTTTTCCATTATAACAATTTTATGAACAAAACCAGAAAGAAACAAAAAATTTGGAATTAATTTACTAGTTGAATACTACTCACAACATAGTATTGCAACTTGCAACAAAGCATTATCCTGGCTAATTTATTTTACTCTCCAAAAAGTGAAGGAATCAGAAAAATCAGTATAATTTCAGTCTCATTTAAATTATAACAACATAAGTGAAACGAAGTGACCTGTCTGTGACAAGCATAAGGGGAATACACAAGCCTCAGTACTGAATGCTGAGCCAGATGTGTACTTTAGAAGGCTTTTGGGAAGAGCCAGTTAATCCTAGTTATGGTTATAAATCCAGATGATCTGCTGCTGATAAATATCTCTTGTTTACAGGCAGACAATCTGAACAGAATTTCAGTCCCTGTTTTTCTCCATTTCTAGATTCATGCCTAGATCTTTCACATTCTTTTGTACTAAGTTTCTGGAAGCAATGTGTAATTTTTTTCATGGTGAGGTCATGGCAATCAGACCAGAGCTAAAATTACCAGCCTTTGACTTGAGTCATGGCCCTGTTTGTTAGGTTTTTACTCCCATTTTACTACATATGTGTAGCACTTACTGAAGTGTGCAAGAACAGAGAGGCATTACAAAATAGAATCAGTAAACACTTTGATTTTCTTATTAGGCATAAAATGCTCTAAAGGTTCAAATACTTTTCAAGATGTAATCAGAAGTATATTTAAGTTTATTTCATTAATTTTCGTACTAAACTTCACTACAATGCATTCTGTTTGCTCAAGAACTTTCCTGTCAGAAGACAGGAAACATTATTTTCTATTTTTTTATTATTCCAAAGAGTAATACTTAAAGAAAATAGATCATAAAGTAAGGATCTCCCATAATCTTCACTGGTAATATGGAGAAGCCCCCATGGCAGTGACATTAAGGTTTTCATATAAGAATATAAATTCCATGAAAAGAAATGCAAACAAATACTGAACAGTAAGTTTGGATACAGTACATTAATATTGTTTGTTTTAACTACCTCCTTATCATAAGATAACATTGTGTGACACACTTTCACTGAAAACCATGACCTGGGACTAGCACCAGGTGCTTAACAGTCCTCTGGCACATCACACTGAAAAGAAGAGATGTTTAACACTCAGTGTCAATGCAAGTAACTGCAAAATAACAAACTTGATAAAAAGAGAAACAAGGCCATCTCCTACTGCAGGAGAAAGGTCTCAGTTTAAGTTGGAAGTTTCTGCTAATTGGATTAGTGCCAAAACTGTAGCAATAAAAAAATATTTTCTGTAGGAAGAGCTATGAATCGCCAGAGTATAGTCAACTAGGTAACAATTTTCTGCATCTGAAAATATGCTCATGATACATACATCTGTTCTGAGGAAAACTCTGCCATGTCTTTTGGAAATACTAGGTGTAAACCAGAAATTAAATTAAGAAGCAGGAAAAGTATTAAGCCTATAATTAATTTGAGGTGTACCAACCCTAGTATAATTTAATACTTACTGTAAAAAACGATATATATTTTAAAAGTTTTTCTGAGAGAGTGTATATTCAAATAACTTTCTGCAATTGTAACCTTTTACTCTTAAGTGTGACTATACTAAGATGGTCAGACCCCAGGTTTATAGAACCCTAAATGACACAAATTCATCTTATCCCACTCAAAAATGCTATCTGCAGTTGTGGACACTCTCTCAGGCTTAAGAAAAATATAATTTCTCCATTTGTTCACAAAGCTCTATTATGTAGTAAAAAAGGTATCTTCTGACGATGCCCTAAAATGTAGAACTGACACACGTTTAATCAGACTCCTATCAATACTTCCTGGAGAACTAACAAATCAGACAACCAATGACTCATATCCCTGGATTTAATTTCTAAGTCCAGGATAGCTAGCTTCCATTTAAGAAAAAAACATGCATTTTTTTCCAGGCAGGAAAAAAAATAATATTATATTTCATAACAGTTTTCATACACAAACCTCCTAGTTCTGGAGGGTTTTTGACAATGGGTTTGTAAAAGCTCTTAACACAAAATGATCTTTTGAAAATAATATCATTAACCTCCAAAACCTGGGAAGCTCAGTATCAGTTCTCTCAATGCATGTTTGCTGGGGCTGCAGAAGTGAATTGTACCTTCCGTCTCACTTATTTAGTGACAAAGTACCAAGAGCTTAAAATCATTCTTTGGGTTTTTCTGTCATTCAAAGCCTGAGGCATATGAAGAATGTAAAGACAAAATGGGAGGACAGAGCCTCAAAAATGAACCATAAATCTTTCAGAGGCCACAAAATGTTGATTTGGCAACCCCCGTCTTTTTTGAAGGATCCTTCAGTGCAGCTCCTTCCCATGCAGCTGTTTCCTTCAGCCTGGTGAGTTAAGCACCCCAGTTCTGTTAGCAATAGTACCTGAATTCACAGTATTTCACAGATTCTGAAATGCAGCTCTCCCAATGTACCATCTGACAAGCACATCAAAGGTAGATTTGAGAAAACACAGTTCTGTTCTGCCACTTTACAGATCTCCAGATACTGACATTTTTATCTTAATGTTCAAATGGAAAATATGCAAGCATTATGGTGGAAGAAACAAGTGGATGGCTTGACCCACTTATGATTTCACTGTTCAAGGCTTGACCCTTCTGTACATAATAGAGTTTAGATACATACAAAACAGATCATTAAAAAAATTCCAGTGTTTTCTTTTAATAGAGCTCCTCAAAAAAAAAGCTATCAGTCTTGACGGACAATCTGAGATGAAACATTAAGACCCCTTTAGGATTAATGTAAAACAGTATCTGAACACCACAAAGATTGTATAAACTGTTTCACAGTGAGTTCTATAAGCTATTACCCACTAGTCAGCCTGAAGACTGAAGAAAATACCTGATAATACCTGAAGAATTCAGCCACATCCAGAAACATAGGATTTTGAAAGTGGATTATAGGTAAAAATCTCTGCATTTCAGTAAGAATAAACAGAGAATGAAGCTTTCAGAAGCTTCTGGCAAGCAGGTAACTATGAGGTCGTCCTCTGAGAAGCATCAATGCTGTGGAGAAGCAAAAGCCTGTCACGAGTGATTACAGGCCTTAATCCAGGTGAGCTGGACTTGCTGAAGTCCATGAAAAGGGCAGCCATTCTGGCAAATTGGTGGCCAAGGATCTGAACACTAACCGATTTCTGCTCTGGAAGATTATGTGTGGTGTCATTTCTTCCTTCAAGGATGGATCAATGTTTCCTGGGTCGCTCAGTCTCTGTCCATGGTGCTCAGGCACCCCCAAGCACAGGGATCCACA